TGATGTCACTTCACACTTTGAGTGGAATGTCAGAGTTCACTTATTGTATTTGTAGTCTGAGCATGGCAAGGCCTTAAGGATTGGCTTGAGAAAAGATGGTGTGAAAGTAAACTTTAGCTTGAAGCTGGAGTTACCAGTGAGAGCAAGCAGTCTTAAATACTGTATATGGTTTGCTAATAATACTATGGCTAATTGTGTGTTTTTGAGATCATTATGCCCATTTTCCTAAAGCATCACTACTGTATATAAAAGGTTGATTGTGTATCATTAGGCAATGCTGTTGCATCAAAAGATAATGACTGACTCAGCTAGTTGTGATGATTAAGCTTCATCCCACAATCATAAGTGCTCATTCTAGCACCCTGACTAAGCATAAATAGGGGTTAGAACAAAAGAGAAATAGAAAAATCATAACATTATCCCCTTCTTAAGACCATCATCCTGATAGCTTAATTAAGGGATAATTCATAGTCCTATATAGTGTCATTGGCATTTATTAGTTTTTCATTTACCCACTGGTTAGATTTGGGTCTATAGCCTTTCCAACTAATCAGGTAATCAACAGTAGTTGTCATACCACCACCTCTTGCCTTCACTTTTCATAGTTTGTGATTGAGAACTTGATCAACCTTGTAATGCTCCTCATTGTCAATGAGGTTGAGAGGTGGAGGTGGTGGTTGTTCTTGATTGGAAAATGCTGAGATGATATATGAGGTTAATAATGTCTTGTTGAAGACATCATGCACTTTCCAGGTGAATGGTAATTGTAGTTTATAGATGCTTGCCCTAATTTTAGATAGGATTGGAAATAGCCTGGTGTGTTTATTGGCTAATTTGCACTTCAAGCATGGTAGGTGAAGGTTGGATGTGTCAAGTCAGACTTTGTCATAAATGGAATATTCATGTGTGGGGTGACAATGCTTGTTGTACTGTTTTTTCATGGTTATAGCAGTCTTTTCAAGGGCTGTTTTGGTCTCTGTGTGGATTGTTGCCATTGTAGTGGCAAAGTCAGAGGAGGCTGGTGTGGTTGTACAATAGCATTCTGTTTGTGTGACATTTGGATGTCAGCCATGGTTGATGAAGAATGGGATTTTCCCTGTGGCTGAATGCACCCTATTGTTGTGCTGAAAGGTGGCAAGATCCAGCCACTCAACCCAGTCATCTTGTTGATAGTTTATGAACAAGCAGAGATATTTCTCCACTTCTTGGTTTGTGTGTTCAGTCTGTCCATCAGTTTGTGGATGATATACAGTGGATGCATTATACTTGATATTTAGTAGACACTTTAATAAGGGCCATTTTGGCTATTTTGTAAATAGTGTCTATGTCCAATAAAAATTTAGCCATTGCTGGCCTTAAGTTACAGGTTGTGCACACTGGATGCACATCAGCATTTCAGCTAGTGATGATTTGGAAAGGTGCATACCCCATTGAGGAGTGCACCTGATTGTTGTGCTGAAAGATGGCCAGCACCAACCATTCAGACCAATCATCTTGATGCCAATTGATGAAAAGGTGGAGATATTTTTCAACCTCTTGATTGACCTGTTTGGTCTGTCCATCAGTCTGTGGATGATATGCCATAGACAGGTTTCCTTTGATGTCCAGCATCTTGTATAACTCTTTAATAAAGCCTAACACAAATTGTGAGCCTTGGTCCAAGATGATTTTCCATGGCATCATGCCATGTTTGGCAAAGACTTTGTCATGAAGGATGCATGCCCATTCTTTGGTGGTCAAGTTCTTGCTCATAGCTACCAGAATGATCACTTTAGAGAGGCAATCCACAATGACAAGGATAAAATCATACCCCTTTGATTCAGGTAGATCCATTATCATATTGACTGATATGATCTCCCACAGTTAAGTGGGAACTTTGTTAGGGTGAAGCAGTGCCCACTGCTTCTGGTTGTCCATTTTATTTCTTTGACAATCTTGGCATCCACAGATATATGCCTTGACTTCTCCCTTCATCTTTGGCCACCAGTACTCACAAAGAACAAGCTCCTTCATTTTCTCTACACTCAGATGTCCAGCCATTACATGATCATGCAACATTGAAATGATGTGCCCTTGGAGTGCACAGTCTCATGGGATATATACTTTTCCATCATAGATAAGAAGACCATCTTGCTTTGAAATCCCTTGCTCATGATGGAGCAGGTTCTGGATACTCCTGTCTCATAAGCACATCTCTTTCAGTGTGTTTTGAATGTCCTGATGAACTTCTTCTGTTGGCAATGTCATTGCCTGAAAGAACTCCAGCTTGAGCAGAATGACATCTTTGTTGTCATCTACTCTCATGCTGTGGTCGGCTCTTTGGCTGAGCAGGTCAGCCTTCCTGTTGGCCATCTTGAGTTTGTGGTGCAGAGTAAATTGATACTCCATGAGTTCTGTTACCCACTATGCTTGTCTGCAGTTGAGTTTCTGTGGCTTTTTAAAGTACTAGAGGTTTTAGTGATCTGTTCAGATTTTGAAGTTGAGTTTGGCACCTATGAGATAGTGCTGCCATTCTTCTAACACAAGCATAATAGCAAGGAGCTCTTTGTTGTAGATTTTATAATTGTGCTCTGTTGCCAAGAGTGCCTTGGACAAAAATGCTATGGGACACCACTTGTCATCCTGTTTTTGAGACAAAATAGCACCAATTGCCCCCTCACTAGAATCTGCTTCCATGCAGAATTGATTGTCATTGTCTGGAATAGCAAGGACAGTGTCATCCTGAACATTTTCTTTAACAGCCATAAAGGCTGCTGACTGAGCCAGTCCCTAGCTCCATAGTTTCTTTCCCATGAGTGTGATCATTGGTCACACAATTTTGCTAAAGTCACATATGAAGTGCCTATAGAAGTTTGTGAACCCCAGGAATGCCTGGAGTTCAGATTTTTTACTTGATGCTGGTCATTCCATGATGCCAGTGACTTTGACTGAGTCCATTTGGACCATCCCCTTGCTGATGATAACTTTAAGGTACTTGGTTTTGAGTACCTCAAACTCACACTTTTCTGGTTTAAGAAAAAGCTTCTGCTCCCTGAGAATTTGCAAGACCTCTTGAACAATCTTGTAGTGCTCCACTAAGTCTTTGGTGAAGATGAGAATGTTGTCAAGGTAAATAGTTACCTTGTCACATGTGATGAGGTCTTTAAAGACATTATTCATCATCTACTGGAAGATGGCTGGGGAGTTCATTAGTCTAAAGAACATAACAAGCAGTTCAAACAGGCTACAGTTGGTTTGGAATGTGGTCTTCCACTCATCTCCTTCTTTGATGTGAACATTGTTGTAGCCCCAATGCACATCCAGCTTGGTAAAGTATTTTGCCCCCTGAAGTTTGTCCATCAGGTCAGTGATAAGAGAGAGAGGATAACAGTTCTTGACTATCATCTCATTGAGTTTCTGATAATCTTGTACTGGACAGAGTTTTCCATCCTTCTTTTTGACAAAAAAAAAAGGTGATGCCATAGGTGATTTTGAGAGTTGGATCTGGCTGAAGGCCAGATTTTCATCAAGGAATTTATCAAGTTTCTCCTGCTTATTCAGGCTGAGCTGATAGACTTTGCAGTCCAAGCTCATCTTCACATTAGAGACCAGCTTGATTGCATAGTCCCAGAGCTTCCTTGGAGGAAGTTTGTTGAAATTCTCTTTCACAAACATGTCCTGGAACTCCTGGTATTGACTTGGAACAAGATCATCAAAGGTCTTGTCCCCCTTGGCAAGGTTAGCCTTGGTGGCCAACTCATTGCTTTTATTACTCATAGCACAAATGTGAATCATTTTTTCTATGTTCACAAAAAGCATTTGACCCCCCTTATTCAAGTTGGTTCCCCACAGCTCCTCTGGGTTGTCATCTGGCAGATGAAATGGCATCTTTTGGCAGAGGCATCTGACCAATGCCACTGTCTCTTCCTGCCAATTGATGATGGAGTTATGGTGCTTAAGCCAATTGTACCTCAGAAAAATCTCCACAATACTGAGGTCAGTCACAGCAAGCTTGATTTGTTCTTTGTGCTCACTGATCTTGAGTCAGACCTCAACATAGTCAGTGATGTCATCATTTTTGTTCCATATTCCATCCACATTGTAGATGTGGGACAGAACTGCTGCCTTCTGAGTGTTCAGACAATGTTGGTCAATAAAGTGCTGGTTGATGGTGCTTGTTGTACAGCCTGAGTCCAGAAGGGCTGAGACTGCAAATGTCTTACAAGTGTCCAGTGTCTTGATCTGACACTTAATATTCATTGTTTGACTGAGTCATCTGCAAATTTGGTGGGATGCATATTTGAGCTTATGCAACCATTCCAACTGTAAATCAAGACAGTCAGGGCTTTCAAAGGGCTGAGCAAAGAGTAGGGTAGTCTCTTCATCCACCTCTATTTGGCATCTAGGGTGAGTTCAGATCCAGAGTGTTACTATTTTTTCCTCCAGGGTCTTCACATTGTGAATGGACTGGAGCATCCATTCAGTAGTCCAGAGTTTGATTCATCTGGATTTGTCTATGACCAGGTTGAATCACAAGAGATCAGTTTGCATCTGAAGAGTGAGAGCTGGATACTCTTCTCTTGGCTTGGCTGGTAATACTATCAGTTTGGCTTTGAGAGGCTCCACATGGCTCCAGAGGAAGAAGGTGTCATCTTCCTTATTGGGGATCTCCTCAATAGTCACCTTGGGGCATCTCTTGCCCTGTTCAGCTGACTTGCTCAGCACTTGAGTGTGTGTTGGCTTGAGTGGCTCTTCAGTCTTCTTGGGGGGAGCTAACAATGTATATTTATTAGTAAAACTTCATACAATGTCTGTGAGATTGTTAGTGTCCTGAGAAACTTTACTTCTTTGCAGAGAAGCCAAGCTGGCTACTTTCCTGTGGAATCTTTTACCTCCTTGATCTTGGAGGTGAAAGCTGTTGGCTCCTCTGAGCCTGCTGTTTTTCCATCCTTCTTTCTCTCTATCTCCAAGATTATTTCTAGCAACTATCTGATGTTGGTGGTGCACCACTTCAGAGTAGCCTATTTAGAGCAGTCCTTGTAGAGATGGCCTTTCTCTTTACATCCAAAGTACTTCCCCTCCTTCTTCAACTTGTCGATGTCCATGGATTTTCTCTGGCCACCAAACATAGTACTGGTGGCAGTCTTGTTGTCACTGGTGGTATTACTGCCCAAGCTTGTCAAGCCAGCAGATTTGGATTCTGAGGATCCCAATGCAGCAGCCTTTCCTTTCTTAGCCATTGCATGAGTGAAGGGTCTGATGCCCCTGGAAATTTCTTGTGCCCAGCATTGTTATTCCATGTCCATAATCAGGACACACTCCTTCCACTTGTCATAGTTGGTTGGCATGAACTTGCTGACTGTGCTGATCATATTGATGTGCTTCTGGAGCACACTGGACTTTAGAGCCCTGATCAGGTGACTCTTATTCATCTTGTCAGTGGTTTCACCAGCAAGTTTCACCTTCTTCTCAAGATCAACAAAGTACTCAGTGGTGGTGTGAGTATCTTGGTGTATTTTGTATATCTTTTTGAGATGTACTTCTTTAATTGCAAGATTGGTAAATTTGACCTGCAATTCTTCCATGAACTTCTACCATGTGGAGAAGCAGTGATGGCTGGCAGATGCCAATCAGTATTCTTGTGATTTAAGGATCCATCAGTCCAGCACTTTTTCCTTGAAGAAGGAAGTTGCATAAGTGATCTTATGTGCATCAAAGAACATTGAGGCTACATGCACCTCAAAGTACATGTTGCATTGGACCAAAAATTGGACCAAGTCATCATACTGCCCCTTATAGAGAGCAGGATCCTGAATGTATTTAGGACAAGTATTCATCTATAAGGCTTCATCTCTCATCCATCCAGTTGGCTATCAAGGTGGACTCAATGGTCACCATCTATTCAGTCTCTGTAAAAGAGACCAAAGGCTTCTTTGACCAGCAGGTGTTCCTGCCAATCCTCCACTCAGCCTGCTTGATGAAGGTGGTGAAGATGGTATCATTACTGAGTCCACCAATGGTGGCTCAGCATCTCATACATCCACTGGTGGAGCAACCAGCAGAACAACATGGGCCTATAGATCAGCCATGGGGTCTGCTCCAGCTAGCAAATGGAAACCATTTGCTCAGGGATTCAGCAATGTGGCCAGCATCTTGGCATGAGACACCAGTGTGGCATGCATAGGACTATACTGTTTGAATTAGTATGGTTCTAGCATTAAATAAGGGTGATAGAGGTAAAGTTGATTGAAATTGAAGACAGCCATTACCTGGATGCTGTATAAAAATATATCCTCCCACTCAGCTGCCCATGGAGAAGTCACCTAGTGATGTTCCAGTTCTCCCTTTCTCCAGCTAATCAAGTCAGGCAGCATTGCTGCTGCCTCCTCCCACATCCTCTGAAACTTCTCCACCAGCTATTCCACCAGCTTCTGCTTATTGCCAGTTAGCATGGATGTGACACTGCTCTGACTGGTCATGGAGGAATGCAATCAAGGAGGGGCAGGAGGGAAAGGTGATGCTCAGACAGATGCCTTCTCTTTCTTGTCTGTCTCACTCCTGGTTGATCTAGTGTAGAACCAAATAGTCCTGGGCCATAAGACAGAGGCAGAGGCTGATAGACATGCAGTAGCATGCAGAGATTGATAGCCCAGAGTCTTGACTGGTTCATGGTCTGAGAGAGAACTCTTCAGGGCTTGGGGTGCAGGCTGAGGCTGGCTGACCCCAGAGGTCTCATGTGAGTGACTGCTCATGGTGCTGGTGGGCCTCCAGCCAATGAATGAGCCTTCTCTCCCAGCTTCTCACCCAATGCTTCTCAAGCTGTTGATGGATCCACCCAAGAACATCATTAAAGATGAGGGGAGCAGTAGGATTGACACTGCCATAGTGAGGTGGAAAGTAGAGTGGTGGAGGAGTGTTGTCCTCTGGTACTCATTGTGGATGGCATCTATAGAGGATGAGTGTGACTCTTAGGGAAGGGTCAGGGTATATGAGGCAGTTGGAGACCACCAGGGTGATCATGTGAGGTTGGGATGGGAGGGAGTGGCCAGGGCTGATCACTCCTCTGAAAGTCCTTTGACCTCTGGTTCCTTCAGAAAGGAGAGTTGAACCCCTTTTGGAGAGGCTTGAGGGCCTCAGCCTCAAATCCATCTGAGGGAATAAATATCAGGTTTTCTCTGCTGCCAACCTGAGGCTCCTCCTCACTTCATGCATTGCTTCCAGTGTGTGATCCTTCCAGAGCTCATCCATCATCATCAGAGCTCTTGTAGAGGCCATGGTTGGTGATCTCAATTAGGGGTGCTTGGGTGCTCTTGATTCCTCAGAGGATGTCTCCTCCCTTGAAGCCAAGATCTTGCTCCTGATTTGGCACATCTTGTGCAGAAAGCTGGACTTTCTGCTCATCTGTAAAGCAGACTGTTTCAACTCACTCAAGTATGTCAATCACATATCTCATTGACTGGAGCTTATACTGGCATATTATAGAATATTGATGAGGCCAGTGGGGTATGGGGGTGCAGAGACAGAGACTGAACCAATTGGCTGTCTGCTGGCAGCACCAATGGATGATCTCCCATCTAAAGTAGTAGAGAGAAAAACAAAGCAGGGTTATTGCTGAGGCAAAGATGAGTAGTGTGAATAGTATGAGTAGGGGTATTTCCATGCAGTACTCCTGACTGTTATCAGGAGAAGGGCAGTTTCAGCTTTGGACTAATTGTTAGCAACCAACTATAATAAATAAGACTAAACTCAAGGCTGTGCTTTGCATTTGGGCAATCAGCACAAGAGAGCCTTATCTGTGAGCTAGAGCTTGGCAATCAAGTTGAGTGATGCTGAGAGTTCAGTCAGAAGAGTATTGAGAGAATAAACTTTAGTCTAAAGCTGGGGCTTAAGGCCACAGCTGAGCTATCTTATATACAAAATGAGTGTGTCTAATAATATGTAATGATGGTGTGGTGTAGGGCCAGTAGTGGTACCAGAAGTGTCTGGTATTTGTGTGCTGTAGTAAATAATGCATGTAACATTTGATACTCATATAATAGTCACTCATGAAACAAGAAATAAAGAGTGGCATCAGTGTGTTGTACTATGGAGTGTGGTTGTTAGACAACAACAGTGTGGGAATGGTGCAGGAAGCATGCACTGTGAAGATCATGAAGGTGTAAAATGGTCACGATTGTAACAGTGGCCTCCTCCACATTTGACAATGCTTTCTATATATTGTCAGTGTAAGTGTCCATAATAGTATACTCACTATCCAGTTTGCCAATTGTTCTTACACATAGATCCACTTTGGACACCCAGTATCTCAGATCCTCATAGGTTTTCCTGAGAGTTTCAAACCAGTCATGACCTCTCTGTATCATCTTGTAAATCACATAAATGAGTTTGCATATCTTGTCTTTCTATTTCTCAATAATATATCTCAGAGGCTGCTTTATATATATGTTTTTCTTTGTTTTATTGTTCAAATAAGCTAAAACAAAGTCAACTTACCATAGGACAAGGTCAAGTTTTGCAATGACAGCAGTGGACATATAGATGGATTCAAGGTAAGTCATAGTGGCCCAGATATTATTGTAGTTAAGCCCATACTGCTGTGTGTATTTTTTGCCAATGAGCTTAGTCTTGTCTCTGGTCCAATTTCCAGATTCTATTTTATACCATAAATCCACTTGCAGTCCATCATATTCACACTCTCTGGCTTGTCTATAAGGTTCCATGCATGCTTCATCATATGCATTTTGTATTTGATGTCTATTGCAGCCTTCCATTGTTTCTTGTCAGCTTATAGGGCATTCTGATAGTTACATGAGATACATGGATTAGATAAGTTCTCTGACACTGTCATTGATGCATAGGGTTGCTTATTATTGATAGCCCAATTTTTTCTGCTTATGTGAGCCTCAGCTTCATGTTGTTCTGACAATAGAGATTTAGTTGCATCAGCACTCAGATGTGTCAAGTATGTTGATCAGTGAAGTGGTAGTGCAGCAGGGGCTTCAGATGTTGGGATGGTGGCAGTCATAAATTCTGGCAGAGTGGATGTAATCAGAGTCAAAGTGAAAGTAGAAGCAGTGAGTAGAAGTTTGTTCTCTGTCTCTCTCATACTCCTAGTTTGGTATGCAGGCCTCTCATTAAAGATCACATCACATCACATAGAGACATGATCTGAATCATTGAGGATGCAGCAGTTAGACCCTGCATAATCTAAAAATAGACACTTCTTTAATTGATCATCTAACTTACTTCTGCCATCTGCTAAAATTCTGCCAGAAATAGGCTTCTTCATCTAACAGATTGACCTGAATATGTGAAGGAAGACAATATTCTGATGATGTTTTAAGAAAGCCTCTGCTAATACCATGCTAAGATGGTGACTTAAGAGCATCAAGTTTTACATAAAGATCAATATAGACACTACCTCCACTCAATAACAATCAGCTAGATCAGAATTGCTCAATAATGCTCATGTGTCCTTTATAGTAGTGTGTAGAGCATACTCTGTTAAGCTATTCTGTGCTGATGAGTGTGGAGCTGTCAGCTCAAGCAAGATACTGTGCTCAGCACAGTATTAGACCCACATTGTTCCTGCCAAGGCCCAATCAGCTTGCACTCACTTGAGCTTTCAACCTGTCTGAGTTTCTGTCATGCAATGATATTTGTTGAATGTAGTAATGGTCATGTCATCAGTCTTATCAGAAAGAAACTCCTCCCTTTGAAGGAGGACTCACTATCCATAAAAATCATCATGTAAGTCTTTTCACTATGTGATGCTGTTTGAGACAGTCCTTATAAATCTGTAGCCACTAGTTCAAGAGGATCAACATTAAAGTCTGTAGGTTCATTAAATGAGCAACAAGCATGCTGTGCAAGGATACAATCCTCACACTGGCTCTGGAGAGGATTAGAGGTGATTTCCAAGCTATCTATGAGGTTCTTCAATATTATTTCTTCAATCTTTTTAAGACTTGTATGAATGAAGTGATAATGTCAGTGGCACAGGAAGGTAGGCAATGACTGTGATGATATGGCCTAGAGAGTGGATGCTGCATCTAGGAAATATATGCCATCTAAGCTCTATTCTGCAAAGATCTCTTTGCCAGACTTGTCCCAGACAGCTGCATAGCTATTGAAAAATACAGTCAACAATCCAGCCTTGTCTAGAATGCTCACAGAGATGAGGTTTGCCATCAATGAAGGTGGGTGCAATGCATTTTTAAAGGTTAGCTTGATGTCTTTCCCATCAAGCCTGAATATCTTCATCATCATCCTTTAGCCAAAAATCTCAAAAATTCTCTTTTCAATAGCAGACAAACCAGTATGAAATGTGACCAGCATGTATTCAGTGAAGTCTTTATGATTGTGAAAGAGGTAATCACTGGCTCCAGAGTCTATGAATGTCAAGGTTACAGAAGATGAGCATCTCTTGAATGTAGTCATTATAAAAGCAGTCTCAGCAGGGTTTATTTCACAGGTGAACTGGACAATTCTTTTAAGGCCATTCACATAAAGAACAGTGTCAACAGGAGGCAACATATTATCATCTACTGCATCATCCTCATCTTCAACATTTATGAGTGGCAGCATATCTGGGTCTGTCTCATTCTCTAGGTCTGTATAGTCAGTGATAGCTGTCTCACTCTCAGAAGCAGAACTCTAGTCTGAGAATTCATTGCTCAACATGATCTCTGAGTTGCTATCAGATTCATCCCATCATAAAAATGACCTGATACTATTTCACTTATATATTCTTTCTCTAGTGCTACCATTCTCAACAATAATAGCACCATTATCATGTTCAATCTCAACAGTGGATGTGTGCATGACAAGAATGAAATGCCTTATAGTGTCAGCTGAATTAATTCATACTGGCCGGGTTTGTATGACAGAGGTGATTAAAGTTAGAGGAGAATTGACCTTTCTTTCCTCCACCAGATCAATAACAATTCTCCATAGTGTATCAGATTTTATCACAGACCTTGCACTCAGGATTGCAGCATCTGCAGAGAGGCATAGGAGTTCTGGCAGAAGAGATTGTGAGAGCCCAGAATAGGAATGATCCTTTGCCCACAGCACAGAGGATTGCAGCATGGGTTTGGAGGTGAGAAATGATGTCACTGGACATAGCTATCTGATATAGACTTGAGAGGACAGGCATTCAATGATCTGTAGAAGTAATAGAGCAAATAATTATCTTGAACTCTTGGTCACTCAGAGCTGTCACACAAAGATTGTTAACAGCATATTGTTTTATATGCAAGTCAGCAATATGAGCATTTATGTCACTATTCTCATTGAACTTTATGAAATTCAGTGACACTTCAGCCTCTGACAGAGCTATATCAGTCTTTTTAGCATGTTCTGTGATAATAAACTCTCAGCATTCTTTTTCTGTCCCATCTGTTTTAACCTCTAGTTCAATAGAATTAAGAATGTTGAGCATAATGTGAGAATAAGCTAGTTAATCACAAAAAACCCATATGTTATAGAATAGAGAGGAAAAATAGATGGAGGTGGAGTCCAGTGGTAATAGTACAGTTGCAAGTGTGGTTATAGTAGCTCTAGAGATAGTGGGGTGAGTAGTGGTTCCTTTGATATATCCTCATAACCCTCTTTCTTTTAGTAACTCAGTTATCTGTAGCTTCCAGAAGATGTAGTTCTTCATGTTGAAATGACTATACATGTCCAGAAGGATTGTGACTTCTGGCATTAACAACATCATTTAGAGATGTAATAATCATAGTGAGAGGACTATGGTATGGTGTAGTATTGTAGTTATAGTAGTAGGTTGAGTTGTATTCTCACTGTGTATTCTTTTTGACTGAGGCTTTAGACAACAGTAACTATATTCTATTGATAGAAGAATATAAACAGTGTTCTATAAATGAGAGTGAGTAATATAGTAAGAGACACAGTAATAGTATACATATTTCAGTTGGGCACAGTGTAGGCAAAATAACTGAGGTATATGGATATCTACAGCCAGACTATATAAGCAATTGAGTAGTGACAGGAGATATGTATGTATATAGTAAGTAGAAATGAGTAACAGTTGAAAGGTGTAGTAAGTAGGAACAGATGATGATTGAAAAGAGAAGATAAGGGTATATGTATGGATATTCTCTAACATAGAATGCACTAAGCTCCAGGATGATGCCATGGGTTTTGCAGTATTCTATCCACTTTATTTCTCCAAATGCATTATTCACATGCAGTCACTTAATCTTCTGATCAGTCTGCTTTTTAGCTATCACTATTATATATATCATTATGCTATCTGACTGCATCTGTCTTTGCACTGCTATATTTCATATTTCCTAGACTGAAACACTTATTCATTATTACTCTCTCAGATGCCATTCTATTGCCTACTCCAATTATCTATGAGTTCATCATATGTTCTCAATATGCTTTGTGAAACTTGCAGTTATATGGCATTATTATGAATTAGTCTCTCACTAATTTGATGAAAGATACATCCATGGTCAAGGTGTTGCATCTCAAATTCTGGCATTGTCCACTGGATCATGATACATTTGAAGTCTTCAGTAAATCTTTTAAATATCCAGAGGCAGACAAGCCTATCTTTGATATGCTACTACCTTATCTTATGTATCTTCATATAAATAGAGACACCCTCCTATCTATCAGCCATGCATTCACAATGATGGTGCAGTCCAGATGCTATGTTGACTATAGGATTTTGCACTGTCACCATATGATATAGTTATATAGGTACTATCATATAAGTATCTGCATTGCCAGAGAGTTCAGTCCATTTTGAACTGTATAAGTTCTATATGAGTATCTGAAAATAGACAAATTAGTGAGTTGTTTCAACTAGTGTAGATATAAAATAATGAAAGCTAACTATTTCTACTATATTAGCCTCTAATTTCAGTTCTTATAGATAACTATCAGTGTATATATGATAATTACAGCTCTCATTGTCATCATACTGTTAAGGCCAAATTTTCTGATGGTTGATGGCTGTCCTCTATATGGCCATACACTGTATATAGTATAGTGTGAAGCCATAATTGACCAGACAAGTACTGTATGATTGTATGATCTAATCTGCCTATTTGCAGAAGCTGTATTTTAGTGATGCTAAGTTTTGGGGGCAAACAGGTGTAGAAGGATTACAGCCTTACATTTTCATGCTTCAGAATGTCATCAGAAGTTATGATCCTTTTTGTAAAATGTTCTCTCTGATTTTCATTGGAGAGTATCTTTTTGTATTGGCTAGTTCATCTTATACTACTTGACTATATGGAAATTTATCTTTTACTGGTAACTGGATACTGCAAAAACTGCATTGAGATGTTCATAGTGGCTCTTTAAAGCATGCAGAGAGTGTGGACTGGTTTGTTAAAAAATAACCAACCGGCTTTCCTGTTATAATAGTAGAAATAATAGTCTCAATTGTGTGGCCGACTAGCTCAGTTGGTTAGAGCGTCGTGCTAATAACACGAAGGTCTTGGGTTCGATCCCCACGTTGGCCAATACTGAGGGCAATTTGTCTTTTTATTAGTAGTTCCTTTTGGAATGCAGCGCCTTCTGGTGTTTCCATTACTTTTCCTGAGTTCAGACCCAGGAGTTTAATTTTTGATACGGTAATTCCTGAGACCAGCATGAGATGTCGGATCTCAGACCCGGGTTCACCAGAATCCAATTTATCACATAATCAAATGCTCCTTTCTAGGACACCGTGATGCATGATGACCACGCAGCGCGACCATCTCTTTCCGACGACGTCGATAGGGCGCACTCAAAGCCGTCTGCTGAGCAGGACACCGTCGAATGAATCTCTGACTGCGCACCCTCTTCTTTCGCCCACGGGCGACTCTGCACAGCGATATGTACCGTACACGCCCAGGCAGCGACTACCAACGACGACAGCTACGACGACGAATGTACTACCTTCGGCCTCCTCTTCTAACATACAACATCAGGGTGACGCGACGAGCAAGCTGCAGCTGATGAACCTCAAGGCGGCGGCCCAGAATATCGGCCTGGATACGGGAACAATTGGCTGGGCCATTCTTGAGAAGCTTACCTCGGAGACGGAGAACGCAGAGGAATGGGTAGATGTTTGGAGTGCTGTTACCAATGGCAAAGTACGTGCTACCATACATACACATACTGAGGCTGAGGCTACCAATTAGGCAACACTTTTATTGCCATTGGAACCAGCGACGAATGAAAGGATCACTGCCGACTTTGTGAAGGACCATATCGTCCTTTGCGATGGGTCTTCACGCAAGGAAGCTCCCATCGTTACCTTGTCTGGTCTCCGAGGTGTGCTGAATAAGTACGCACTGATTTCTCTTTCGCGTACTGCTCTAACGAATCTCCAGCACGACACTTACCTTCCAATCTTCCCTTCACCCTTCTTCAAAGCTCTACCAAGGAATCTTGACTCCTTCTACGCGATCCACAACACTTGCGAACCTACCACCCTTACCTCAAGTGACGAGTGCATTTCCTTCTTTCCGCGTACCATCACACACTACATCATTACCTGTTCCACCCCGCGCGAAACCTCCACTCCCTCCTCGTCCATCTCAGCAAGCGTCGCGTTTAACAAATCCTTTCGCATCTCTCTTTGGTCATAAATCGACGCCGTCAACGAGTAGTATTTCTAGTGTTGAAGATACTTTCCCCACTTTCCCCGCCCCTATAATCATTCCTGCATTTACTATTTCGGAACCGGTCATCTTCAACGATATATGTAAACAGACTCTGCTTGCACTCAAGAGTTGCATATCAGAGTCTCTAGCTGGTTCACCACGCTGGCTGATTAATCGTACGAGAGCGTTCACGGACAGTCTTCATCCCTTTTACAGGGTGAGGAAATCGGAGGCTGGCGGGGAGGCCAATCCCGGCGTGAAATACGTGATCCAGCCCATCGACTATGACACGGCCGAGGTGTCAGACATGTTTCAAGACTTCTACTATGGAATAGAGGAGGAACTTAGGTTACGAGCAAGGAAGGAAGATGAGGAGAAGAACGAGCTCCAAGATCCGTCTTCTGAGGATGACGAAACCAAGGTGCTTGATCGCGTCGAGAAGGCGATATGCGAGCTGTTTTACGATAGGTTGCCTTCGTTCCTTCTCTGAGATGGACAAAAGCTGACTACCAGTGATAGGCTCTTATATCCCTCGCAGTCGGACGATCTCGATCACGATGAAGCATTGTCGAGTCGTGTTGCTGCACTGAACATGCTCGACCTTGGTCTCCAGCATCTTGACATTATTATTGACGGAGATGTTGCCAACCAACAAGACCTAGACGGTCTAATTCAGGCTTGCGGAGGCAGTAAGTCCTGCCCGATGCAATGTTGCCATATCCTCACTATTTTTTAGTGCTGACCCAACTAGACTCCGTCAGATCTCCGGCCGATAAAGCTGCGCTTCTTGTTGAGGCTCACAAGATTATCGTTGGTGGGTTCTTTCTTCAGCGGCCGTGTGAAGACCTGACGACTTTCTTTATCAGAGGGTCTTACCAGACTACCGCCCATACGCCTGAGAAACGAGAACGAAACGCTGCCAGCAGAAGTGATGCTGGAGCCAACGCAGAAGGCCAGAAATCTGAGCAAGGACCAGGACCATGGCTCCCTACGCATCGAGTCCCAGGCAAAGGATCCCGCCCCAAACTCACAATCGGTCCCTACCATCGCCGAACCAGAACAGAAAGCCAACGGAGTCATTGTGCATAGTTCGGCAGTAAATGACGAAGGGAACAAACCGGTTTCCCCCTCCTCTTCATCACCTCGACCTTCGACGGCGGCTTCAGATAAACCTAACACATCGCAAGATGAAACGCCAATATCTCTTGACGTTCTCTTCCCTCTTCTCATTTTTTCTGTCGTCAAGTCGAATCCCCCTCATCTCGTGTCGCATGTATTGTATACCCAACGATTCAGAAACAAACACGCGAATGGAGAAGAGAACTATTGTGTTATCAACCTTATGGCCGTTATCGAGTTCCTGGAGAATGTGGATCTGAAGAGCCTGGGCTTGGGTCAGGAGGGTGGACGAGTGTTGAGGTTGGTTTTGTGATTCTGTTTGACATTTGGTTAACCTCTTTTGTGTTAGTGCGGCAGATCTGACCCCAATACCTATCGTGACGTCCGCTCCCCCTCCCTCTTCACGTGCTTCCTCGCAGGAGCGGGGCGCCGCCAAGGATGGATTACGCGGTCGCGTGGAGCAGCAAGTCGACGCGATCGCTGGATCTGCGAACAAGGTCCTCACTGGAGTTGTCGATACCTCATTCGGGATGCTCAAGTCTCTGCTGCCGAACAATACCAACGCACCTGCCATGGATAACGTGCAGGGCTCTACTCCTTGGAATGCAGTGAGGCCTGGATTTGGGCTGTTGAGGAGGGAGAGTGGGTTTTCGATCAAGAGCATGTTGCCTGGGTCGACGCCGAAAATGGGAGGCGAGGAGGAACTGGTTACGGTGTCGAGGCCGGGGTCGGTGCGGAGCAGGAGGAGCAGAGCTGGGTCGGTTAGAAGCGGGGTATTTATGTCGAGTGACGATGAGAGTGAGGAGGAGGAAGAGGAGGAGAGCGAGGATGATGACGAAGACGAAGAAGAAGCGGATTATAGTCCCCCTGGGGATATGAAGAGTATCAAGAGTTTCGAGAGTATGATGAGCTCGAAGAAGAAGCGGAGGAAGACGTCGCGGCCGAGTTTGAGTGACCGGCTGGCTAGTGTCTCTGCTCTTACTGCGAAGAAGGTACACAATTTCAATTTTCCTCCGTTCTAATGCGCTTATCATGATTTTGTAGAGCTCGCCTCCAAGGCCGTCTATTCTGCCGCCTACATCTCATCTGGTTGACAGTCCTGTTGCGGAGTCCGTGGTACAGGGACGGTTATCTCTGGCACCACCCAATAAACGATTCTTAGATTGCGAGGTGGACGATTTGAAGATGTCGGAAGTTGCGGAGCTATTGAAGGAGTATAGACGTATTGTAGAGGATGTTAGGGCGATCGGTGGGTTCAAGCCTGAGTAGATATGTAGATATGATCTTTTGTGCGGACGATATATATATATATATATTTTGCAATGGTATACATATACACATATACAGTAAGACTCGGACCTCAAGGCGTGATGGTCTCGCCGAAAGTATATGACTTAGTCTTCGCCTTGGGTTGAATGTCGGCCGGGAGAGAAAGTTATGAAATAGATGTGCACATTCACCCAGTTAAGCAACCCCTGGTTACCAGACCATCGATTCTGGGAAGATAACGAGTAAAGAAGGGGCATAGATTCGGAACTGTTATTAGGGCCTTCAGGCCTCAAGTCAGGAACAAGAGGAAAGAGATACAACTGAGAACCTTTTTAGTATCTATCAGAGTCATGGTCGGAACCGGAAAACAAAGAGCGCGCGGACTTTTAACCTGTACACAGCATGTGTTCTGGGCGAAATCTATTTTGCTTTCACTGCAATACGTGATGTCTCCAGTCCAAAATCTCAAAGGAAATGCTCTGAATTGGACAAATCATTATCGCACCCAGCAACGACGAAATATAAAGTCACACCCCACGTTTTTGGGGCGGGGAACAGGGCAGTAACCAGGACCCCTGAAAAATGCAGGACGACGCCACTGCTATAAAAGTGCATCAATAAAACCGTCAACCCAAGAACAAAGAGAACCTATTTGCCTTCCCCCCACCCTGATGGATGACTCTGATCAGCCTCTCTCGCCATCGCATTACCGTCTGCAAGGAGCTCCCAGGTACATGATCCCACCACCGATGCTGCCAGAAGACATCATCAATCGGGAACTTCCCCGGACCCGAAACCACTGTTCAGCTGAAGAACTCGCCTTCTTGCAGTTCCAGCACCGTCAGATAAGCTCGTGGCGGCAGGTTATAAACAGTTGTTGTACGTGACCTGTTGGGGAGAAGACCGCGCGAGAGATGTTGACGACGACGACGACGGACAGGTTATTATTGGGGATCGCTGCTTAATAACCCACAAGAATATCGTCTCGCCACTCCGGAGGGGGTGGTGCAGATGATGCAGGCCTATATAAGAACATATAATGTCGTTACTGTGGATGAGCACAGCAAGGTCATCAGAGTGTCTTTGCCTGAGAGGTATTATCCGTCCCGTTGGAAGGGCGAGGAAGGGAAGTTCACGTGGGCCACTATCAAGGATGGTCAGTGGAATTATCGACTGGCGCTGAGGTACGCGCTCTTACGATCACTTCTAGGACTGTACGGAACGAAAAGGTACCTAGATGCGTTAGTGGAGTCGGGGGAAAAGGTAGTTGATCGCTTGTCTTCGCCGGCTGCTCACCGACGTGAAGGTACCCGTCAGTAGGAAAGAAATTGCATACTAGTTCAACGTACTGTCCTATGGCTCGTTTAAGAACATCATCCTGGACTTCAGCCCTACATATGTTGTCACAGTCTGAAGACACCGTCGTAACACCATCGTCTATGCTCAGATCCCCAATAATGTTTACTGAAATTTTGGCCAAGGGCTGAGTCTAAAACCTAGGGCAGAGGTGAAAAGTTGAGGATTCGTCAAAAGACGTAATGAAAGCCGGGAGGGATTTGCCGGAATTTCGGACATCCTCTCGCAGAAGCAGACGGTAAGGTTTAACTGTTGGCTATGCATGGGCAGTATTTTACGTGTTACATTCAGTACTATTATATACATTTTGTATTTACAAATAGAAGGTATAGTATTTTAATCTGCCACGCACCAGTCATGTGATTTGTCACGTGATAAGGAAAGTAAGGGTAAATTACCTCATCAAAATAACCCCCTTGAAGAAGTCGGTAAAAACAGACTATAACTTACCCCCCTTGGGGCTTGCGCAACCCTAGTCAGGACCTGATGAAGTAGAAAACAAAAAAGCTAAATGGATTCCCCAGATGGCCAACGTGGGGATCGAACCCAAGACCTTCGCGTTATTAGCACGACGCTCTAACCAACTGAGCTAGTCGGCCACAGTGTCATTGGGCACTAAATTAGTACCATAAAGGATGACATTTAGTGAAACAAAGAGTACCAAGCCCATCAACACAGCCAGCCAACTTGTTCAATCAACCCATTTATTTGAATTTTGCATCCCTGCAATCTGTAGATTCTTTGCTTCAATAATGGCAGCAGATTTTCTGTAGAAAATAAGACACAGAGAATGTGACTACCAGACAAAAGAGGGAAAAGAACTTGATGAAAACAGAACAAGATGCAGAACACAAAGGCTTGCAAAAGGAAGAAAACATAATAATACATAAATGTACAGGTAGTCAACTAAGAGGTGAACTGGCCAATGTATCAAAAATATCTAGTCAAAACCAGATAGCACCTTCTATTCATAGGGATCTTCTTTTACAAGTATGACACCCCCACATACACCAATATAGAACTGAAATCTCTCCTCATCTACTTGCGTTAATAACTTTGCATCATCAGGCAACATCTGATCATCAAGATCCACACCGTTTAGGGAGCGTAGCTGCACAGCCCGAGTTCGATCAACATACCACCTTGACTGCACCATCATTATGAATGCATAGGTGACAGGCAGGACAGAGCCTGCCGTGATGTGAAGGTCCACAAGATGAGGAAGAAGCATGGGCCTGTCTCCCTCTGAATATGTGAGGGATTCGCTGAATGCATCGAATGCATCCAGTGAGCAACGCCTGGCTTCGAGGCGGAACACCTTGGCTGTGGGTGCATCCTTCATCAGATCGATGAGAGACTGATCGATAGTAACGTTCTTCAAATGCAAGTTTCGCAAAGCGCATTGAGAGCGTATGATGAACTTGTGGATAGCCGGGGTAGGCGACGGAATGGTGCCTGGGGGAGTAATAGCGAATAAGTGTTCCAGTCTAGGAAGTGTAAGATACGGCAGTGCGGAGACAGGTGTGGTCAGGTGGCACAATGATCTGTGTATGATGGGAGCGGGTAGGCTGAGATTGTATGTATTACCTCGGAGAGATAACCGTTGCAAGTTTGGGGCCTTGCGTAAAATATTGATGTCACCTTGGGGGGATCCGCAAGGAAAATCAATATCGGTCAGTTGCAACCAAGGGAGACTGAGGGAGGTTGGAGATTTGAAGCCAACCAAGAGGATATCATGGAGACGGGGAGCTGTAGCAAGTGCGTCCACGATGTCCTCATCAAGCACAATCCTAGAACTAATACCGTAGGAATGGAAAGAGTGGAAAATGTGGAATCGCTCCAGCAAAGGAAGGGCATGTATTTGTGGCTTGCGAAAATGATCAAAAAAGTAATCTGTGGCATAGATTTTAATGGTGCCCCAGTGACGACAATAATCCAAGAGCACATTCCAAAGATGTCCATTAGGATCACTTCTTGCCTCGTACCAGATACGGAGAGGGGAGGATTGGGATAGGACGAGGGACGTTTTTAGCTGATGGATCCGACCTGCTGGATATGAAAAATAGCTAGTCTGTGACCTCTGGATACGAACATGAGTCCATAATTCAGGGTATGATAGTGTGATGTCTCTCCATTGTTGACAGACTTGAGAGAGAATCCAGGGGGTGTCATAGCAGCAATCCTGCTCATTAGCGATGAGGGTCCAAGAAAAGATAGTGGTAGATATCTCTAGCATCACTCGCAAGATGGGTGGGTCATCTCGTGTCGACTTGGATGACACATAAGAGTCGTTGGGAGGGGGAATTTCCGATTCCATGGATCTGAGAATTTGGAGGAAATAAAACGACAATGCCGATGAAAATGGATCGAACCAGAGAGATGTCGAGGCGCCGTGAGTGGTTGACTTCCAGATGCTATGCATCGATCGAATCTGATCAGTCTTGCAGAGCTGCCGAATCGGCATCACAGTTAGGGCCGGCAATCATCCTCTTCGCCATGTCCTTGCTCTCTTTTTCACCACGGTGCTGCAAATTTGGAGTCATCATACCACTGCGGACTCAAACCGGTCTTCCGACACGGTATGTCCAGACTGACAGCTCTCCAACGCTGCCACGGTAAGAACCGTTATATCCCATACTGGCTGTATGCTTACTCTCGAACTGGTAGTAAACGCAAAGAACCACGGTAGGTATTCGTTCAAAAAGAGATGTGGTCCAAACAATAATCATATGGCTTTTTTCAGTCCAATTCCTCGGAAAGTAGTTCTAGGAGAGGCATGGACGCGACGGCTCGTCTTATTGTGCGTTTTTTTTGTTTGGCCTCCTCATCATCCTTCTCCTCTCATCTCTCATTCACGAATACTCCCCAGCCACGGTGACCTCCCCCAGAACCAAGAAACAATATCCGTCTTCAACACTCTGACCACCTACAACCCCTTCTTCCTCCTCCCCGGAAGCAAGTACGTCGACCCATTCTTATCCAAGGACCCCAACTTCATCAAGCCGGACAACTTTGTCCTCGAGACCGTCGCATTCCCCTCACGCGAGGATATCCAAACCGTATGCGACTACACCGGGAGTCCTTTCCCGAGCCTGGCGCAGAAACCCACCGCGTTTGCGACGCACTCTATCGATGCGTTCCTCGAGCAGTTCCTTCGCGAGCCGGAGAGAACGAAGATGCCGTTTATGGTTGATCATCTACAGAAGAACGTAATTTTTTCGGCAACGAAGATTATAAAGTGGGTGCACCAAGAGATCCTGGTGGCGGGGAAGAGGGAACTCGTTTCGTTGGAGAGGCTGCGTGCAGCGTTCCGTATTGCATCACGTGTGACTGCCGGGGACAGGCTGCAGCGCGAAATCAAGTTTAGGGAGGAGATGTGGGAAAAGGTGTATCTGCCATACGAGCAGTTGCGGAAGGCACGGCTTAAGATGACTTTGGAAAAAAGAAAACAAAAGTAGGGACATGGACAAGTAATTTAAATAGATTAGGTCTTTATCTGGCGTCTCTGCAGCATTGCCCTATATAATCCAATATTCTTCTCCTTCTCCCTTTCCCGTCGCTTCTCCTTTTTCCCCAATCGCTCCCCGATTTCCATGTAATACACCGTCCCAGGACCATACACCTCGCGATACAGCTTTCTCCTCAGTGCCATCTCCTTCGTTGCAACCGGAGTCATATGCGACGCCAGCCTGTGCATTTCATGCCTCTCCCTCCTGTCCGCATCCTGCTTCCATTCCTTAATCTTCCTCAGTATCCTTCTCACACCCGAAACGACGCTTTCCTCCCGCACGATCATGACAGGATGCCTCACAGCGCCAGGGTTCTGCTCGGCATACCGTACAAACTCGTCCACGCTATGCGTCGGCGCGGCTCCATGGCGCTGCGCGTTCCAGATATCGGTCCACGGGCGTCCGCTAATCTGTGCTATCAGCTCGACGTCGTCGCGAGTCGGCGAGGCTCTTTCAACCGGGGGCACGAAGACCTTGGGGGACAGCCAATTGGGAAGATCTCCCCTCTCTAACTGTACGCTATCTCGTACGCGGGAGGAAGGGTGAAGCATGAAGGGATTGTAGGTCGTGAGCGATGACAGGAGAGCAACGATCGGGTCAAAGATGGGATCATTTCCGCGGCTGATGGATCGTGTGAGAGATAAGGAGCGAAAGACGGGGATGGAGGGACCAACATGAGAGTTATGTTCCATGTTCGCTCTTTCTTTAGTTTTGAATCCCAGCGAGCAAGGTACCTGCCATGTAACTCAGCAGCAGTATTTCTGGTAATTTCGAACCGCGTACATACTTTATCCTGGAACAATTTTGTGAGCAAGAGAAAGGATCGGTGAGAGTATAGACGTACTTTTCAGCCTCTTTGTCTCTGGGTCTTGGACGCTGGGCAGGTGTAGAGCTGCGGGCTGGTTGTGATTTAGATGTGAGCGGTCGTCTTGAAGAGCCAAAGAACCGAGGCGAATTGGGGCATCTTGGCCGTGATGCTGAGAGGACAAGGGAAAACATGGAAAACTGGAAAATGAAATTTCAGTCTTCGCGTAATGTAACGTGATCTACTTCCTGTGCCGGGATAAGAAATAAATAAATAAATAAATCGAAAGGCATGGTGAGCAGTCCGCACATATGGTGCTGACTAAGCGAGCGAGAGAGATGTCTCAAACTCTCTCGCTCACAATCGGCATCGCCACCGCCAAAATTCGCTACGGCGAAGTCTGCGACTTGTGTTCAGTTACTCTCAATTCTTACTTGCTTTATCTCTTCTCTTTCACTGATGCCCCGCTCCGATGCTGCTGCAACTGAAACCTTGGACCCTGCCAACGCGGGTACACGACTGACGAGAAGCCTTGAAACGATGGCTGCCGAAGCCAAAGCGAAGTCTTCATACGGACCTAGGACTATGGCTCCCGTGGCTCCCTCAGCTTTGCCTGCTGCATCCACCACTTCCATGGGTACCGCGCTTGCAACGATGTTCTCAGACGATAAGACCGAAAAGAATGTCGAGGCTTACAATCCTAATGACGCCACCTTTCACATCGGACCTTCATGCAAAGAAATTTAGTGTTCGTGAATCTCGATGCATCCAAAGCCCCTCCGGAGGACAATATTATGCATGACCATTCGAACTATTTTTAAATTCAGGGTATGGATATATCATCTAAGTAAGGACATCTGAAACGTCGCCGCAGGATAGTCAGCATACCCCTTCCTCTCATCTGCCTCTACACCTCCATGCCCAAACAGCGACGCAAAATCAATATTCCGTTCCAGCGCCACGCCCGTCTCCACCCTTCTCGCGAAATCCGGGTTCGCCACCCACGAAATACCAAAGAACACTCCATCGACCTTGCCATCCTCAACATACCGTGCGGCCTCCTCGCCCGTAAAGCCCGAGTTCACAAACACCCTTGTAGCAGGGTTCTTCACCAAGGGCGCATACGTACTGAGGATATCATGCTTCGTTCCGCGTCGGGCACCGTCAATAACAGGATCCAGCCGCTCTGCGTATCGCACGAGCGCAACATAGGCAATCCCGAGCTTGTCAAGTTCCGAGATGAGGTAGCTGAACGTGTCCACGGTTTCTTGGAGCGGCATTCTGACCAATCTATCAGTAAAACATGTATAGCCAATACCTCTAGGAGGACATACCCAACATCGTTATCCCCTCCCGCCGGGTTCAACTTGATCCCCACCCTGTCTGCTCCCCAGGTCTCTACCGCGGCCTTGACGACCTCCAAAGCGAACCGAGCTCTATTCTGGATGCTGCCGCCCCACTGATCCGTCCGGTGGTTCGCCGTGCTATCGAGGAACTAGTGGACGAGGTACCCGTTCGCCCCATGGATCTCCACGCCATCGAAGCCCGCCTCTTTCGCGTTCACCGCGGCTTGTTTCCACTGCGCGAGGAGAGTCCGGGGGTCGTCGATGGTGGTGGGGGTGACATAGCCTGGCGAGCCAGAGAGGAAGTGGAATTTGCCTCCTCGGGCGGAGATTGCTGAGGGTGCATAGACGGGCTGTCCTGAGGCGATTTGCTCGGGCGCGTCGGGGTGGCTTGCGCGTCCGACTAGAGGGTGTGTCAGTATGTGTTGTCTTTTCCTATCATAAGAGGGTACTGACTATGCGATAGCTAGAAAGAAGATCGCGTGTAGCTAACGAGAACGGAGGGAGATAAGATGTACCTGAGCAAAGATGACACTTCCCTCTTCGTGTACAGCGTCGGTGACCTTCTTCCACCCCTTGACCTGCTCTTGAGCCCAGAGACCAGGAGCGTTCTGTCATTCCGTGCTAAACATCGATGTATCAGCACCGAAGAAAAAAGACGAAAGAAAGACATACCCTTGTTGAACGATGAGAACGCCTTCGGTGTTAATCAGCCCAGCGCCTCCCGCGATGCGTTGTCGGTAGTACTCGGCGTTGAGATCATTGAGAACGTTCGTGGGCACGGAGCGGTTGCGCGTCAAGGCGGACATGAATATCCTGTTCTTCAGCGTGATGGGGTCGACTTTGAGAGGCTGGAAAAGAGCTTGGAGGTTCGGCATTGGTATTGGTTATGAGACGGATGAAGATCTCGGCGCCATAGCACGCTTTTTATAACGTCGCGACAAACGTGAAGACGTACCAGGTATTACGCGTTATTCCTGAAGATATACCATGACTAAGGGTAATGACATCCTTGGTGAGGACATCCGTACTTCATCGTCTATTTAGGGATAAATCATGAAAAGTTGGATGATATGTCAACAACTGTGTATCCATGAACTCGAGCGGGGCGGTGCCGCGCTGACGAGTCAGAGTGGAAAATCGGAGACTGGCATGTGGAAGTCAGATTCGTTCGTCGGCCATAATTTCACGCACAGTCGTGACAGGGATTGGCAAAGGATCACCTCTCCTCAGGCTCCCGCTTTCTCTTCCAGTATATTGCCATGTGCAGGGGCAGCACACTCGGAAGTGATGATCCCATATCTGAAATCTGTCTCTGGTTTTGACTGAATATTTCGCCATGTTGGTTGCCACTCCATCTACTTCATGGTTTATTCAGTGATGCTGAATACCATCCATTCCTAGCATGCCTGGCAAGATTCAAATAAAAATAGATTTACTATCTGTTTTACCTTTGTGAACAAATTTTCTTACTGTGTATATCTGATTCACTCTTTCCTGATGAAATACTTAGCATGTTTTGTTTGCAATTTTCATCAATAGAAATCAGTTATGTAGCTCCTCTAAATAGAGACAGAGATACCAACAATTAATTGGCCGACTAGCTCAGTTGGTTAGAGCGTCGTGCTAATAACGCGAAGGTCTTGGGTTCGATCCCCACGTTGGCCAATTGTCATTCAATTGAACTAGCTTTTGGAACGCGAAGTTAATTTGTTCCCCAGCAGCATTGTCGCAGTCGGGTTGCGCACGAAACCTTGAGAGGTTTAAGTTGTTGTTTTTTCACTGATGCCTTCCTGAGAGGGGCTCCTATGATATGGTTATTTTAAATTTTCTGTTGCCCATGCAGAATAACATGACAGGTGCACAGAATTGCAGATTCTTTTATTGAGTCTTGACACTTGTGCATTACATCTGTAGTGAACTCTTAGAGCCAGAGGTACCTTACTGTGTTTCTCGACTCTTCCAATAGTGTAAATATAGCACTTGAAAGATGGCCAGAATCCTGACATTCGTTTTACAAGTTTCTTGTATCACTGATTCGACACTTTCCCTACCGGTAATGCAGCACGACAAAGCCTGATGTACCGTCCAAGTCAAATAATTATCTCCGGACGTCTGCACTTCAGCCTCACTCTAGATATCATCCTTATATTTGTATGCACATTGAAAGACTTGGGGAGTAGGTGCCAGACCTGATGACGGCACTGCTAATAGGAATACATCTGGCGCGAACCTCGAACTGGACTTACCAAGACGTAAATGTTTCAAACTGTCTATGCCAATGGCAGCGTGTTATGGTGAGTGTCGAGAGATGTAGAATGACGACGAAGTCTTTGAAGTGTTACTGTTGTAAGGTTGAGTCAACTGAATGTTCGCGGGGAGAATACTTGCACAGTAGATGGATATCTGATCCGATCTAGTATTATCAGGGTCGAGTCTAATGCTATTCATGAGTACAGGAACAATAGCGGATCTTTGATGACCAACTAGGAAGACCGGGTCGCTACCGATACCCTAGCGCAATTGATCATACGGATGTCCATAAGTCTGGATGAACAGCGACTTTCGAAGTTTGATTTCATTTTTGACCAGATCAAACCAGTTTTTCGTCTGGACAGCGTTCGACGCATCACAAGTCCGAAGCTTGTTCTTCACCTTTGCAAAAATCTGGTCCACCAACAACCTGAGCATATACCTCTCCTTCGACTTCTTCTCCCGGAACATGATCTTTGGGTAGTTGCGGGACTCTGCAGCCTTGAGGACTCTCTTTGACGTCCAGTCGATTATAATGGGGAGGCGCATACATTCGGGATTGCTCTCTAGGCTCTCCATGAGCCCTTGAAGGTTGTGGGTTTGGGCTTTGCTTTGCCGTATGAACTTCATGTCGCCATCAAAGTCGATGATAGATTGAACCTCCTCGAGATTTGGGATGGCTTTACCCTCGACTTGTAGCGTGACTGGCTCGGTGTTGTGAGAGTTGCCAAGGTTCCGGCTCTCCGGGTGTAGATAGAAGGGAAGGAGTTTTTCGACTCCACGGAGCTTTTTGAGCACTTGTACACATTCAGGGACGTTTCCGTGGCTTGGAGGAAAACTTTTGAGTGTAGGTCCTGAAACGCGAACAGTATGGGTTGGCTACGTACAAGAAAGTCACCCGATAAATCCGGCTTTTTGGAATAGATTTCGCCAGGAGAGTTGGTGTGAACGCATTCCCCTCTAGGGAGGGTTCCTTGTTTCTATGGATTTCGATTATCGTTCGTTTCTTTCCGCGACTGGTGTCACCATACATACATTTGTGGATCCCGCGTCGATGTCTTTGTGGATCCCTCCGTTTGGTGTTGTGCTTTTTTTGCATATGTTCGAAGAGTACATAGACGCATTCTGGAAGTGACACATCTGGTGGCAGAAAACATGTCGAATTCGACGGCAAGGATGTCGAAGCGTTGAGGTGGTTGAGGATGGAGAAAAGCTTGACGGTCCGCCAAAGCCGGCGTGGCTGCTGACTAAGCACATGAAGTCTCCGAGTCGGCAACGAGGACTAAGCACCCTTGCTCTGATATCGATGTCTACTCTCATCCCCAAGAATTCCTCTTTGGATTGGTCAATAGCCTCGGCGTTGGTGGCGTCAATGCGGAGTGATATGAGAATGATATCTTTTTTCAGACTGAAGACAACGTGAGCCGGTACAGCACTTTCGCCACTTCTGCGATACGAGGCTGCTGCTGGTCTTCCAGGTCCCATAGAGCCTGTTGGTGAGATGTGACCCAGAGGTGACTTTGACGACATTACCATTCTACGGTGGCAATGGGGATGGGATAGGAGCTCGGCGTCCTGGTTTGTTCTATGTGGCATATTCGGTATCACTTTCAAAGGCGGAGGACTCGTTCGGGAGAGTCCTCCGTATCCAAGCCCTCTAGTTTTTCCAACTTCGCTCAGTCCGCTTTCTCTGTGAGAGGGAACTCACCGAAACGGAACGGATATCGATAGCGACCAGGACCAGACTGCACTATCACAACCACAGTGAGCAGAGTGACATTCTCTCCGTTGTTGCCACCAACATTAAGAAAAGGAACAGCTACAGCCGGAATCGAAACTTGAAAAGTTGACGGTACTGGCTCCTTTAGGTCGAAGATATAGAGAGACAAGACACCGACTCCAGAGATACTCCATATCGTAGCTGTCATGGTTGTCGAAGGATGCAGCAGCGAGTATGTTGTCATTTTTGTCTTGGGCGTTAGTAAAGAGATCATGGTTGCGTTCTACGCTGTCGTTGTGGTCATTTGAAAAGAGGACAGTACCAGCCCTTGAGCAGCCACTACCGCCTTTCGCAGTTGTCAGCCGCAAACCAAGACTTATCTCTAGTCATTATCTAATGTCGCTTCTATCGATGAGAAGGAACCCTTTCTTCGCTGCAGTCGACCCTTGGAATCACATCGATGCCAGGGTTTTACCATGAGCCTTCGCCTCGGCAAGGGTCCTTTCACCAATCATATCGCAGCCGATTTCCACGTCACTGATGCGTACACTTGGTGAGAGCAGCAAGTACAAAACTTAAAGAGTCCAGTCTCGTCGACTCAACATTCGCACAAACATAATGTCTACGTCTCAACTTGTCTGGGTCATCACTGGAACTTCGTACGCCGTTTATGATTACCTATTCATCACGTTGACTTTTGGGTTTTAGGAAGAGACCTGGCTCTTGCTGCACTCGAGCGGGGAGAGAAGGTCATCGCTATCGTCCGGGCGCGATCTTTGCACCTCCTAGCGGATCTCAAGGAGAAGGGTGCAGAGACACTCGAACTCGATGTCACCACTCCCCTTGATGATCTCAAGAAGGTTGCAGACAAGGCGGTAGGAATATATGGCCGAATAGACGTGTTGGTGAACAATGCTGGGTATCTACTCGTTGGCGCGCTGTAGGAGAGCACGTATGGATTTGTATTTCCTCTCCCTTCTGTCTTCGTTAACAAGCATGATTATCCTAGACCTGAGGAAACCTTCAATCAGTTCAAGTGAGCGCCACTATGATCGCATCGCTCCCACCTTGTTGACCGTCCTCGCAGCACAAATGTGCTTGGCGCGCTAAACGTGACGCGGGCATTCCTCCCTCACATGCGCGCCCGACGAACAGGTACCTTCGTCTGGACAGGATCCATCGCCGGTTGGCTGCAAGGTCTTACCTTCGTATACCCCTTTCTGCGCCCACCCATGGCCAACCCAGAGATGCGCCCAATGCTGGCCTCTACACTGCCACCAAATGGGCCCTGCGCGGAATATCAGAGACGCTCCATACTGAAGTCTCCCCTTTAGGCCTTCGAAGTACTTGTATCGACTTTGGGTGCTTCCGTACCTCTTTCCTGGGGCCAGACCATCGAAAACCGTACGTAGCCAAGATCGACGACTATAGAGAGATGACGGAGCAGGTGGAGAGTGCTCTGCAGGGTAAGTGTGTCGTTCACCGTATTTTGTGTATTACTGATGGAGACTATGGTAGTTGTTAATGGGAAGCAGCTCGGGGATCCGAAGAAGAGCGCGCAGATACTGTTGGACGTGGTTCGTGGGGAGGGTGTGGCGCAAGGGAAAGAGTTCCCCAAGTTGCTGTTGATGGGGTCGGATCGTTTCGAGGGCGTGCAGGATCGAATTCAAGGATATCTGAAGCTCTAGGCAAAGTGGGAAGGTCTTTCGAGGAGTACAGATTTTTGACTGCGTGGATTCATAGTCGATTCAGGTTACTAGGGAAAAGCAAGTACATTTCGTTGTTGGGTTTATGCAACTTTCTTCTGACCTAGAAGAAAGTAGGCGGTGATACCAGCGAAGGAATTGCAGGTAGCTGCTTTTGATGTATATACGCATCGTCGCCGCACTCGTTGAAGGGACAGCACCGGCCCTTGAGCAGCTCCTACCACTGTTGGCAATTATGACACTGTCTTCACCACAACGCTATCATAATTCTGGTCAAAAAACTGCTGAAAATGGCCAGGTCAAGATCAAGTCCGCTAAGACAAATTGTCGATGTGAGAACCGTAAGTGATATTTGCCTCATCATTCATCTAGACATCCGAATCGTCGCCGTCCGAGTCGTCCTCTTCGATAGTTGCCGCCTGATTTCCATACAGGATGCCTGACGGAACGACGCCAACGCCTGGCAGACCGTGGGCCCAATCAAAGAATGTCGGACCAAGACTCCAGAACTGCTTCATTTTCCTCAGAAGAGCAACAGACACCGGTCTCTTGTGTGGAGGCTCGAGAATATTACAATATTTGTACTGCTCGTCTGCATCGATAACCCTGTATACTGAAGGCGAACAGCCAGAGATAATGATGGTATATCGAGCGTCTTCTATAATTATTCTTCGTGAGCCTGACTTACTCTTCCAGCGGAGATAGATACAAATCAAGCCGCATGTCTGTCAACGACGGTGCAGTCGTAAAGTCCCCAAAATAGACGTGCACGGATCCTATCTTTCGTATCTATTATATAGGAATTCGGTAGGGTCGGTTTATGCCTTCCTCGAGCATCAAGGATATCCAATGTGGTGGAACAGCTACTTGGAAGAGCCAGAATTTGATAAGGAAAGGGACCAGTTGCGAAGCTGATACTTTTGACTACGCAAGTGGGAAAATGAGTCTCCGTTTCGTTCGTCGCTCTACAATCGGTGATGAGGTAGGGAGTAAGAATCAGAAACACCACCTGTACAGCCTCTGAAGATGAATTTGGTAATCGATCCTTACTGGCTAAGCATCATGGTGCGCCCAAATCAAACTCGTCACCGACTTGTATCGCCATTAAAATCAAACTGCACGACCCGTTGAGCCTAGGATGAAGAGACTTGATGCTGAACATTGAACCTTCGAGGTTGTCACGCTGAACGCAATGTATTGCACAACAGATACAGATGGAAGAATATACGTACTGGATCCCATCCTCTGTATTATCACTTCCCCCGCGGCAGCAAATCACAGAATATGAATGAAAGGTTCATAAAATTTAGAGCATTTTACGAAGTGTTCCTCTGCATGCGACAGGCCAAGCATATTGGTTCGAATTCAATAAGAAAAATTACAGCTCTTTTTGTAACCCATCTGATGTCTTGTTTCAATGGCACGGTCCATGGCAGTGAAGTGAAAAATAAAGCTTGGCATGTCTCAAGTAGCGTGAGAACATAGACATTCATTTCGACACTCTCTGACTCGCCAACTCGCTCGATCAGACGAATCTGACTGAGACTACGATGTCCTTCTATTTCAAGATTAACACATGGTAGACACTAGAACTCATTTTTATTTAAGTCTGGATCTCCCTCACACCTCCAAAGTGTCTTCATCAAAATTTCCCCAAGGTGCATCAGAAATGGTAAGCAATTTTCCTTTAGTCCTTCTCTCCTTTAATAGATAAAATCATGCAGGATACCTACCCTAAATATGAGTTTTTCACTGTAAGCTCTTACACTCCTTCTATTAATGCTATTGAGCTCTTGCAATCTGGAGCCTCATCACATGACATCTGTGACACTCCTCTGCTGGATGATATCACCAATCTTGAAGAGGAGCTACAGAAAATCAGGTCTCTGTTCATATGAATAACAGATCAATGAGACAGGATTCTTGAGGACCATGGCTGCTGCAATGCCCTCCTGGTGCCAATCCATTGTTTGCCTTGAGACTTGTTCAAATATTCCACCTTGCATCTTCTGATGTTTCTGATCCTCATCATGCTCTGTGGATCCTCAATCAGGTGTGTTCTATATGGAAGTGCATTTCTTATTCTTGTTTCTCCTTATGGACAAGAATCTGCATTTCTAAAGATTATAACAGCTATTCTGCAGTGTTCCTTGAACAATATGCTCCTATCTCTAGAGATCTACTTATTCATGTCTCTATTAAATACTCTCATGGTGAAACAATGAATGCTCTCAGTGGCTTACTCCTCCATTCAGAATGTTGGTCAAGCTGCTAAGCCCAGCATCCAAGTCATCTCCAGCCAATCAATTGATGAATCTTCATATCAGTGTCAATGATTGCATTCTACCATGGGTCAATGCCACAGTGTTCCACAATCTCTTCTCTTTATTGCCTATCTAAGATGCTGATTTTCAATATATTTTATATCAGTATGTACTAATAAACTTGACTGAGCTATGCAAGTTCCATATATATTCATATGATCCTGTCAAACTCTACAACATACTACAGCATGCACAATGTCTAACTGAATTTTCTATAACACCAGCTTGACCTCCTCATGATTTTGCTGCACTGATTGCATATCCTCATATATCTCACACCTCTCTCCAATGGCTTTCATTTGTTGTTTCATTTGATGGTCTTATAGAAAATCTGCCCAAAGTCAACAAATCTCAATCACTTTTGACTACATCACTCTCTCTGCTCTTCAGCAATTCAATATTCTACTGGAAAGAAAATACACAGAGAGTGATCCAGTAACTGTTGAAGCTATTGAGTACTCCCATCTGATTAATCTCTTTCTGTGGTCAGAGTGCAATTTGACTGTTATCATCTTGTCCATACCTGTTTCTGTTGAACTGTTCCTTGTTCCCATCCTCATGCAATTCCCTATTCTTCAAAAGCTTGACCTCATTATTGATACAGCAATGGCAAGAGATGTGTTTAAAGCTTTGGAATTTGAGATGGGAAATACCCTATATTTAAGAGAGCTGTGCATTAGAGAGGCTTCAATAATCCTGTGAAATAGTAGTCTTCTAAAAGAGGTGGATGGATTTCATATGATGGTCCTTTCCAGATTAGACAGAAATAGTTGCCTGAAAACACTAAGACTATCATTGACCATGTTGGCTTGGACCAGTCTTGAATCCAGCCCAGTCTCTGAAAATTCACCACTCCATGACTTGTTCAGGATCAAGGATCAAGGAATAGACATTGAATTCTTGTTGGATCAGGAGCATTGTCTTGTCAATGGGGATGCTCAGGTTCAAACCTTTGGTTCATACTAAATCAGCATTGTTTTTTCTATTTACACATCTGTACTCCTAGTAATATATGCCTGTACATCATTTCTAGTGCTGTTAAATAATATATACAGAGAACTAAGCACAACATTACTGATATAATCAAATAGTAGCAGTTTTCTATGATTATCATAAACTGTAGACTTTCTATAATCTTAATTTCCTACCATCTTCAATGCAGATCTATGGGAGAAAACATAGCTTTAGCATATGTCTTATTCAGCATCAAAAAAAAAGTAGGACAAGGTCATGAAAAAGACACAGAATTTCCAACCTATCAAAAGAAAAGAACAGTATGAACAACTATATGCTCTCTCAGACTTGCAAATTATAGGAAGAACAGTGCACTAATATTTTTATATTTTAGAGTTAATTATTTTAAGCTGTAATATTGAATTCTTCATATAGTGCTCTGTTTATTGAGATTAGCTTTGTGTAATTCATATAAGGATCCACCACAATATGTAGCTCACACTGTTCTTTACATATTAAGTATTCATATTCAGCAATGCATTGTGCTACTTATTGGTAGATGTCTGGAACCTTAGAGTGTCAGAGTGAGGATTGAGTGAAGTAATAGGAAATTGGCAGTGAGAGGAAACATATTGAAGTCTCATCAGAATTGGCTCCAAAGGATACTCAGATATTATACACATAGGCTGGAGCAGAGAACATCATCCACATGTAAGCTCTTACTATCTCCTCTTGCAGATGATGAGACTCCTGATATAGTTTATAATTGACTATGATCCTGATATCCATCAGAGCCATCTTGAACACATCTGGTGCTCCCTTCAGTCTTGTCAGAGTTGTAGGCTCACTCTAATAGATCTCAAACTTAGAAATTTCAGTGCATTCTTTATGAGTCAACTTGGTTCTTGTTACAATTTTCTTTTTATCTTTTTATCTTTTTATCTTTTATCTTATCTTATCTTATCAGGGCACCTATCTGATCTTAGGCACTTGTTAATCATGGGCTGATTACCATGACTATATCAGATGATTCATGTCATTGTACTACAGCCTATATTTGATGTCTTGTCCACAGATAGAACCTGTTGTTTCATGTATGACAACCATGCTCTATAGTACCATGTTGTAGAAGAACACAATAAGTAAGACTATATTTATCACTCTCAGAAATATATATAAGTAGTATAGCTCTTACTGTAGTAGACCAACTTTGAGCTAAAGTTTATTCATACCACTCCTTCTCTCAAGCCTAACTTGCAATAGCCTTGATACACACACTCCAAGCACACAAGTGGACTCTAGCATAACTATACAAATTTAATATAGCATTAGTTTATTATGTGTTTAGATCACATGTTGAGTGGATCTAATAATTAGCTTGAAGCTTCAACCTTCTCTTTTCTTATGCAACTATCTTGCAAAGGAAACCAAATGCAAACAAGCTCCAACCCTACTACCAACTTCTTCAAGCTCTTAAGCACTATTATTAGCATCTTGCTCAGGCTGTTTATCTTAATCCACCTCTGCTATAGAAACCAGTCTATTGGTATCTAGATTATCTGCTACTATACCTATTTATGCAACCTTGCTTATATCTGCTCTTGACAGGATGACTCTCTCATTCTCCCCTCCATGAAATCCCAGCAGATTCTCTTGGAAATCCTAAAATCCTCACAAGACCTATACTTGAAGACATTTCTAGAGATGACCTTCAAGAAACTACTTTGGAAATATTGAACAAGTCAGAAACCCTCAGAAACTACCAGCCATGATATGACAAATATTATAACATCAGAACTCTCACAGAGGATCTCTCTTCAGACTTCTGTGTTATCCTAACTCTCAGCTCTGCCACTGCCTCTCCTGAGCCTGAACTTAGAGACTGGACTTGAGACTCTGTTAACACCAACCAATGGGCTACCACCACTGCTGTCTATTCTAACTATAGAACCTCCACTGGAATCTCTGAATCCTCATGCTCTGACTCCTCTAATACCCTCCCCTCAGAATTGCTCCTCTCAGACCTTCTGAGCCTATCAGACTCTGTCAAGCCCATTCTATCAATGTCAATGCAATCCTTAGTGATAGAAACTTTGCTCTACTCTGAAGCATGAAGTTCTTTCACATTCTCAGAAGGCATTACTGTGACATGAAGGAAGCAGCAAATACCAAAGAAGCAGCAAGACTCTCCATCTGATGACCAGGATCTCCCACTTGACCAGAAAGATTCCTCAGTGACAGCAAGAGCTCTAACAGCAGCTTCTTCTCCATTCATATTGTCCAGAACCCTCAAGAAAGAGATAGGCAGGATGTAGAATGAGAAGAAAATCCAGAAAGATATTTGGTGAATGTTTGAAGAAGAATTCAGGAAAATATATCATGAGTGAATATGTATGATCTCTACAAATATCATCTGGAGGGTGACTCTATTAGGAAAAAGATATTTAATAGCAGAAACTAAAGAAAAGATTGATATTTTGCAGTATTATATGACTGAACAAGCAATTTACACATTTAACAACTGGTACCCCACTAAGGCAAAAGCCAACTTACTACCATATAAATCCCAATTTGAGGTCTGACTGATGCTGAATATGTCACCTATACCACTGAAGTGAGCTTTATACACAGCACTCTTGGTCTGGTCAGTGGCATAAACTATATTCTCAAACTGCCCAACTTTGTTGCCCACTCCATGCCAACAGTATCTATGGCTGAATGCATAAGAAAGCTGTCTCTTCACTGGACAGAACAATCTTTCTGATGCCACAGCAGGACCTAGCAGGAAGAAGAACCTCATTCTCACTGATAGAGGCAAGGAAGACTAGGATGATCCTAAGGCCAGTAACTTTGAGATCATCAATAGGAGAATCAGAAGAAAAAGAAGAAAGAGAGCAGGCAGCCCTGTCACTGATGACCACTCTCTGCATTCTCTGTCAAAACCACTGGTCTTCTGACAATACCCTCTCTTCAATAAATACTCTAACCTGATGGCTGCTCTTGCTACTGATGTCCCTCTAATCCAATGCAAACCAGAACTCATAAGAAAACCACAACCCTTCAAGGAGGTCTCCAATGACATTGACAGATTCTTAGTGGACTGAAAAATATACTTTGAAGTCCATACAGTCTATCTGACTGCTGACACATATTAAGTCATCTTCACTGCCTCCTATTTTGAAGACAAAGCAAAAGAATGATGGACAATGACTCTCACCAACTTATACTCTACCACTAGGGGGTACCAGTGACTGTCATCCTGAAAGGACTTCAAAGAGGTCATCTAAGAAAAGTTCACAGATCCAGTCATCCAAAACATATACAAGGCCAAGATATATAAACTATAAATAGATAATAAAACAGCTAATGAATACTTTTAAGAGTTGAAATAGCTTGTCTGACTGGCCAATCTTCACTATGACACCAACAAAACAGACCACATAGTGGAAGCACTGAAGGTTGAGATTCCACTGTTGTATACTAAGACTATCTCCAACATTAGCATCAACATGCTCAAAGAGTATGATGTCTGAAAGAAGTGCATCATGATAATAAACTAAAAGTGATAATGACAAAAAGTAATCAGTGCCATGCATTAGACTCATGATAAGAAGGAACATCAAGAGTCAATAGGCAAGAGTATGCCTGAGCAGTCAAAGGGAGGAACATTCAGCACCACTAGTGAGAGGAAGACCTTGACCAAGATTATATATATAGAGCAAGGAGAGCCCATGGATATTGACCAGCTGAAAAAAGAAGGGAAATGCTTCAGCTACAGAGAGAAGGATCATCTGTCAAAAAATAGCCTGAAGAAGAAATAAATTCATGAAGAGATGCAAGCACAGATTGTAGAGTTATAGAAGGAGGCTGACATCACAGAGGAAAATGGTAAAAATATGAAGATAGAGAAAGTAAAAGACAAGACCAATAAGTGAGTGATTTAATTTGATCAGCCAATAGACTCAACAGTGTGTCATCAGTAGCTGCTGATCAGACTCATAGTACTTCTGTAGTTATGCCTAAATTACAAAAGCATTTGAATATACCCACTCCCACTACTATATCAAGATCACTGAAAGAATTGACAAAGAAAAAAACTCAATTGCCTATAGGCCAAACAGAGAGAGAGACCCTTTCCAATGTGTTGAGTGAATGGCTCAAACTGTTTGACATAAAATAGACATAGTGTGCCATCAAAAATACCAGAACTAAAGAAGAAGCCAAGACTATACTCAAGAACTGGATATATAAGGCTTATGCTGAAGAAGTAGTAGACAAGATAATAGAGGAAGTGTGAAAGGCCAAGAGAAATCAAGCACTGGAGTGGTTGGACAAGTTACAAAAACTATAGAGATACATCCAACAACAAAAATCCACTGGAAGAGACCTTGTGACTAAGGCTCAGATTGAAACCCTGACAGCACAATCCACTCACATAGTCACTACTCTGATTGATAGTGGCTGTACTGGAAGTTTGATCAACTGTGTCTTCATCATTAGGCACAACCTTTCTATCAGGGTGACTGCCACCCCTATTCTAATATACAACATGGATGAGACCTGAAACAGGCAGGCTCAATTACTGAGTTTATAGAGTTATAGTTGACAATAGGAGGCTATACAGAATGAATTAATTTGGCCATCATCAACCTCAGAAGTAAAGAGATCTTCCTTGGATATGACTGGCTGATCCAACACAATCCTCTAATCAACTAAAAGATCAGGTGCATCACCTTTGCCAGATATCAATGCTGAAAAACCCCCTTCATCTTGCCAGACAAAAATCTGGAGGATCTGTGAGATGAGGAGATGAAAGAGGGAGAAATGATCCTTGTGATAGACATGGAACCAGCAATCCATATACAAGCTATGCATCATGCCAATGACTTGACAGCAAAGGCCCATGCCAGGAAGGAGGCTAAAATATTTGAAAAAATAGTGCTGGCATGAGCAAGAGACTTCTGTGATCTTTTTAACAAAGAAAATTTGAGTGAACTCCTCAAGCTAAAGCTATGAGATCATGCCAATGAACTGGTTTTAAATGCAAATGCCAACCTCAACTGTAAAGTCTACCCTCTCAGCCACCTGGAGCAACAGAAGCTCAATAAGTTTCTGGATGAGAACTTAACCAGTGGGCAGATATGACTCTCCAAGTCTCTCATGGCATTCTTCTTCTTCTTTGTCAAAAAGAAGGATAGAAAGCTATGCCTAGTCTAGGACTATTAAAAACTCAATGAGATGACAATCAAGAACTGATATCCTCTACCACTCATCTCTGAGCTGATGGATAAGCTGCATAGTGCAAAGTATTATCTAAAGTTGAACATATAATGAGGGTATAACAATATCTGCATTAAAGAGGGGGATGAGTGGAAAATGGCATTATAAACCAATCAAAGACTATTTGAACCAATGGTGATATTCTTTGGACTCACTAACTCCTCCACAACATTCCAATGGATGATGAATAACATCTTCAAAGATCTCATCACCACTAGAAAGATCACCATATATCTTGACAATATTCTGATCATGTCTGGTGATTGAAAGGAATACTGCCATCTAGTTAAGCAAGTCCTCATGCTAATGAGAAAACACAAGCTATTCCTTAAAGCAGTGACATGTCCACTGCATGTCCAGATATGTAATTTTAGGATTTATAATAATACATTGACTGTATCAGTCTACTATGCACACAATAAAGAAGATGACTAAAGTGCAGTGAAATGAGACTTGTATAACAGCTGGCTTGAGTGATGATGAGTGAAGAGCATGATCAGACAATAGGATGATACCAGGAGGGGTCATACTGTGCATGGGGTCCCAGCACTTGACACTAAATATGCTAATACAAGTATAGAAAGTCCCACTAAAAATAAAGAGTACACAATCAAAATATGATCAGAGCTTTGCATATGACTTTGTGTCACACTGATCAATGACACATAGGTATTGATTGGCCAAAGAACATGTTTTAGAACAGAGCATTGGTGACAATGAGATAAACCTGAATAGCAGAATCATTGACCAGAAACAATCCCAGAAGTCTGAAATAACTCTTGTGCATGGATTAATTGCTCCAGAGAGATAATAAAGCAAAGAGACTAGTGGCCAAGCCACTAACAGAGCTAACCAGTGTCAGATTGCATAGAAACAGAAGGCAATCCCAGCCTGGAGCAGAATATGCATGTCAGACTGCAATATGTGCACAAATGATATATGAGGGACTCTGGAATGGAGTTCTGAGCATTGAAACTACTATATTTGGTGTATCTTAGTATAGTAGTAGCCTATTTAAATATTACATTATAAGAGTACTAGACATGTTTCCAACCTTCCACAGTTGCAGTGTATTAGGCATAAAGATCTTGTGCTCCAGCTCTGGGTTTGTGTTTGTAACTTTGGACAAGAGAATAAACCCATTATTGATATCATTAAGAGAGAACTGAGAATTGTATAAGGCACAGAAGCTTGCAAGAGACTCTAGTCTGATTTAATAAAAGGTTTTAGATTGTGCTCTAGCCTGAGAATAAGAGAGCAGTGTCTGAAGGGCACTATCTTGAGTTTTTAAAGTGTTTGTGATGTGAGACACTACAGGTGGCAGAGGTTCAAATCCTTTGGCTTGATTAGTGTTCACTTTTGGTTATTTCTGCAGATCAGCAGAGGTTCAAACCCTTTGGATCTGTCAGATAGGGTTTTATTGTGTTTTGTATCTCTGGATTGCATAGGTTTGAATCCTGTAAGTCTATGATCAGTTTGGAAGCTTGTATACAGAGGTTTGAACTTTTTAGCACTTGTGGACATTTTTATGAAATGTTTCTGCTTAGAGTGTGAAGCTTTGAGTTGTGTAGTGTGTTTAGAGATTTGGAATTAATCTGTGCTTGGGACCTTTGAGAGTTTTGTGGGATTGTTTCAATATATTGTATTGAGCTACAGTACCCTTTGTCTTAAGGCCCAGCAACATTCATTATCATCTCTTATTTTTTTATAAACAAAAAGCTTTGAGACTTAGAAAGACCTAGGACTGTTACACTCATGCTACTGCTATTCACACACAGTGGATTTATTGAAGGAGACAATTATACTTGCTATAACTACTCTTATCACATTATAATCCTCCAACAAACTAAGAAGTAATGTGTATGTGTTGGTGTGGGTGTGATCAGTGAAAAGCACTCTGCTGTATCAGTTTTTACCTCAAGCACATACAAAACCTCTTCAACATGAGTGGTGGGATCATCAGGAACTCCATCTCTATGATCAACTCATTAGACATTGATGGTACCCATCATATCCTGATTTCAAGCATGCAGTGACTAGCTGATTCAAAGAGGATGCAGAAATGAAACTAAAATAAATCAAGTGGAGGACACTGAGACAGGCTAACTACAAGGATGCCAAAGTGTTCTTCCAGAATTTTGAGGAACTGGTATATCAGGCAGGAAAACTGAAAGATAGATTGGCTATGCTAGAGCAGGTGGAGAATGTGGTCTGCCTCAACATCAAGAATATGATTGCATCAGAGAATAATGACATTTCAACTATATATAATGAATGGAAGCACTGAGTCCTACAGATGGACTATAACTACCATATCAATACTGCAGAAGAGAATAGCCATACTGCAAGGGTAGGAGGTACTAAGACAAGTGTGGCTGGATCATCCCAGAAGAGATCTACACCAACAGGAGATGACAAGAAGATCTCAACTGGTGTAACATATAGAGGCACAGGACAGCTAATAGATATAGATGTCCTTCACAAAGAAAGAAGATATTTCAATTATGGAGAGAAGAGACACCTGCTTTGTGCCTGCCTGAAATTCCACCATCCACATACTCTGCCTATCACCCAAGACACTTCAAAAGCAAGTGTCTCAATAGTGTCTCAAAGAATTCTGGAGATAAATTTTTCTGATGAAGAATGATTGGAACTTGGTAAGATGTATCAAGAAGAGCAAGCTACCAAAAGGGCACAGAATGAATTGAACTAAGCAAAGATGGTTAAACCTTAAGAGGGTTTTGAAAAGTAGTCTCTTAATGCATATGCAGATGGGCTACTAATATTTTCTTAAATATGCAAGTAGACAGCACTAATATAGTGCATTCCCACACAGACACTATACTTACTGATACTAGACAAATTTTTGTAGATTCCAACAATAATTACTCACCACTTGCTATTAAAGAAACCAGTATGCAACCAGAGACCTCATTTGACAAGAAGGTAGTCAAGAACTCAAGTGCCCATCAGAAGAGCTGAACAGAATGAGTGATGCCCCATAGAGAGTTATAAACTAATGACTGGCCACTAGAAGACTGGACACTAAAGATTCTATCCTCAATTCAGTGCACTCTACCAGTTATAGCAGAAGAAGAACCAGATGAAGAGGATGATATGTCATACTATCTGATCCAGAAACAAAAGATGTCTGAATAGTGCAAAGCCTCTAAGGGGAAGCCCCAGTCTGAACAGACTATGGAGTATCCAAAGGAAGAGCACCCCATTATGAGTAGCACCAGGCCAATTGAATAGCAGAAGCCTAGCACAGTTGCCTGGATATTATATACTTTAGAGAAGTCAGAAGACTCTGTTGCACTAGCAGTATTAAAAAGATGGATTCACTTGAAGAGGCTGATTGAGGCAAATCAGAGTCTGATTGATAATCTTAGAGGAATCAACAAGAGAGAAGCACTATAGGCAATAAAAGAGTTATATCAACCCAAAAAGTACATTCAAGGAGAAAAAGATGGTGATGAGACTGTCATCTATATACAACTGAAGAAACTAGATATCTACCAAATGGTTAGTACAGAGGCACTTCTAGATAGTGGCTATATAAGCAGCTCTATAGATGAAAACTTTGTCAGAAAGAGTGGATTCAACATGAAAAAGATTGTCAGACTCATTCCAGTCTATAATGCTGATAGAATGCTTAATGCAGGAGGCTTTATATCAGAGTACTGCAAACTCTAAATGACTACAGGTGATAGGCATGTCAAATGAATCAACTTTGCTGTCACTCATCTCTATAATTGAGAAGTATTTCTAGGATATGATTAGCTGAAAAAGCACTATCCATAAGTGAATTAGAAAAGTGGAAAAGTCATTTTTGATGAATGCACTTGCATCAGACAGCAGTAAACATATCTTGATCAAGATTGACCAGAAAAGATGATCTGAAAAGAACTATATAAGGAAAACCATCTGCTGATAATAGACTTCCAGTCTGCTATAGAGATGCAGGCAATGAAAACTACATCCAATGAGTTGGCAGCTAAAGTTTATGCAGAAAAGCCAAAGAAGTTGTTTGAAGAAATAGTCTCTGAATATTACAGAGATTATCATGATATCTTCAGTAAAGAAAACTTTGATGAATTACCACTATAAAAGCCCTGAGACTATACAATTGAGCTGGTCCCTGATGCCAACACTAATCTGGACTGCAAAGTATACTCACTTGGATGAATAGAGCAAGAGGAGCTAGATAAGTTTCTTGATGAGAACTTGACCAGTGAAAGAATCTGAGTATCTAAATCTCCTATGATCTCACCTTTCTTTGTCAAAAAGAAGGATGAAAATCTGAGACCCATATAAGACTATCAGAAGCTGAATAATCTGACAATCAAGAATTAATATCCACTCTCACTCATTTCAGAACTCATTAATAAACTGTCAGGTATCTGGTATTTCATCAAGCTAGATATACAATGAGGGTATAATAATATCTGGATCAAAGAAGGAGATGAGTGGTAGGCAGCATTTTATACTAACTAAAGGTTGTTCAAGCTACTGGTAATGTTTTTTAGGCTCACAGATTCACCTGCCACCTTTCAGACAATGATGAATAACATATTCTGATATCTAATCACCTAAAGAAAGGTCACTATCTATCTAAATGATATAATGATCTTCTCAAAAATGCTCCAGAAACACCACAAAATCATACAGCAAGTACTATAAACACTGCAAGAGAATAAGCTGTATCTCAAACTAGAAAAATATGAATTCAAAACTCTTAAAACAGAGTACCTCAGCCTTATCATCTCAGAAAGAAAGCTATGAATAGATCCAGTGAAAATAATGGGAGTACAAGAGTGGCTGACATCCACTAAAAGATGAGAGCTGCAATCTTTTTTAGGATTTGCAAACTTCTATCAATGCTTTATTGAAGATTACAGCAAGATAGCCTTGCCACTGACCAAACTCATTGGAAAAGCTGAGTGGAAGTGGAAAGATATACAGGAACAGGTATTCCAAGAGATTAAATGCTGGATCTGCTCAGACCTAATTCTCACTATTCCAGTTGATGATGAAAAATTCAAGATTAAAGCTGATGCATCAAAAGAGGCTCTTAGAGCCATTCTCAGTCAAGAGTAGAGTGGACAATGGAAACCCATAGCCTATCTGTCTAAGACACTGTCTACAACAGAATGCAACTATAAAATCTATGACAGAGAGCTACTGGCTATCATAATTGCCTTAAATGAATAGTGCTATTATCTTCTAAGTGCTAAGTATGATTTTGAAATCTGGACAGACTATCAAAATCTTCAGTATTTCAAAAAACCACAGAAGCTGAACCACAGACAAGCATGCTGGGTGACAGAGCTGGCTGAATATCATTTTACACTCCACTAAAAATCTGGTACTGCTAATAAGAAGGCTAATCTACTCAGTTGATGAGCTGACCATGATCAGAGAGAAAATGATAATGAAGAAATTGTCATCCTCAAGCCATAGTTATTCTATGCAAATGTCATGATTTTTCCCACAGCTCCAGAAATCCTGGAGAAGATTCACTGAGAGAAAAAGTCAGTGGAGGAGGTGGTACAGCTGGCACTTGACAGGAAGGAAAATAGATGGACTCTTGAAGGGAGAGTGTGCTATTTTTATAATCAACTATATATTCATGTCAACAAAAAGTTATGTGGGGAAATCATTGTGATATGCTATGATCATGTGATAGCAGATCATTCAGGAATTGCCAAGACACAAGAATTGATCACATGCAATTATTAGTGGTCTGGTCTCAGGCAGTCAGTGGAAGCATATGTTAAAGGATGTGAGATATGTCAGAGGGTGAAACCAAACACTCAGCAGCAAGCAGCACTATTACACCCTAATGAAATTCCTTCTGACAAATGAAAGATAATCTCAGTTGACATGATAAGGCCTCTCTCTGAGTCCAAGGAGTATGGTGCTGTCTTAGCAGTGATAGACTAATTTTTCAAAGAACTAATTCTGATTGCAACAAACATGAATCTGAATGCTGAGAGCTAGGCCCATTTATTCTGAGACCATGTATATGCCTATCATGGACCCTCTGACAAGATAATCTTGGATCATAGACTACAGTTTATATTGCAGTTTCTCAAAGAACTTTATAAGTTGCTCAGAATCACTAGAAATCTCTTCACAGTATATCACTCTCAGACTGATAGACAGACAGAGCAGGTCAATCAAGAAATTGAAAGTATCTCAGGATTTTCATAAACCACCAACAAGATAACTGGGTGGAGTGGCTTCCAATAGCAGGATTTGCCTACAATAACTATGAAAATTCCTTGATTGGCTACAGCCTATTCTATGTAAACACTGAAACCCATCCAAGTACTGGAATGAACCCCTCACAAAGAGAAAGCCAAGTACCTCAGACAAAGAACTTTGCAGCAGAGATGAAGAAAATTCATGATGAGGCTGAATATGTATTATATAAGACAGCAGAGTCTATGAAGAGACAGTATAACAAGAAAAGGGTATTGGTGAGAGACTACCAGCCAAGCAACATGGTTATGCTTGATATGAAGAATCTAAAGACAGACAGAAAGATGAAGAAGTTGGATGACAAGTTTAGAGGCTGCTTCAAGGTTGTGAAAAAAGTAGACAATAGAGCATATGAATTAGCCATTCCAAAGATATGGAAAATCCACTCTGTCTTCAACAAAATCCTCCTTAAATCATTCCAAACAGCAGAGTTTCCCAATCAGAGAATGCCACCACTATTCAAACTAATAGTCATAGATAATGAAGATGAATATAAGATTGATGCAATTCTTGATAATAAAATTTGTTATTAAAAATAGTGGTTTCTTGTCTATTTCAAGGGGTATGGTAATAAGAAAAATCATATCACTGGTATACTGAAAAGGACCTCTCACATGTGAAAAGGCTCATTGTGAAGTACCATGCAGCACAAAACCCACTTGCTGCAGTGAACAATATCATGCTTGGATAACCACTGTTTGACAAGTCAGACTACATCAGGACTCAAAAACTCCTCTTTGAACTCAAATAACATTCATTCAAAGCCAAAAAGCTTTACATATAGAAAGACACCAATGAAATCAAGGCAGAAACACTCATAGTTCAACTATTTCTCTTAGACCAGACATATAACATCTCAATAGAGATTGATGGGAAAGATGAAACTATCACCTTGTTTCTAAGGCTCTTCTGAGAAATTAAGGACAATTGCCTTAAAGAGGAGGCAATGACATGATTTTAGCCCCTAAATCATATCTGACTGCCTTAGCTTGTAGCTTGATCAGAGATTAATCATACCCAGCCATCTTGGCTGAGTTTAAGGCACTGAGACACAGGATTTGTATCTGATTGCCAAGACTTTTCTATACAGTATATAAGTCAGTAGTATACAGAGATATACTCCAGTTTTGAGCTAAGGTCAATACACTAATTAAACTCCTAAACTCTTAGTGTGACTACCACTTCAATATCAACACTGGCAGTTATAGCCTATCAACTCCTATACCTCTCTCTCCTTATCATCATCTCAAAACATTCTTACTCTCATCCTCCTGCTTTATCTTCAATTAGCATCAGACCTCAGCTGTTGCATTGCATTGCATTTATGATTATTTGGTTGTTGCCTGATATGCAAAGCAAAAAGTTTACAAATAATGCAAAAAGTTCACAACAAAAGTACATGTATTGAACTTGCAATGCTTATTTTACTAAAAGCCCACTTAAAGGCAGTGAATTATAAGTTTGCTAACTTGTTATTTGGATTACATAATGATATTCAAGTCATTCAAAGCTATTTCAAGTGATCTAAGAAGACTAGAATGTAAATTCAGAATGGATTTGGGATTGTTTGAATAAGATTTGAGAGAGAGCTTGCAAGTGTTGATATGACTTTGTGAAGAGAGTGGAATATTGCTTTAATTATTATGGATCCATGAATTCTATGAGCATACAGAGCCTCAAGGCTTATCACTATCTTATGGAAAAACAGACACATCAACTATTTGACAAGCTAATAGATCCAAATATAGTGCTCCTCTGCCTTGTGAAAATAGACTTGTGGAGTCCTAGCTGTATAATATTGAATGGAGGTTAAGTCCTCTTTATGCTGATTGTGGATAGCAGCATATCATTTAAGCATAGAGTATTCCTCACTGATAAGTCAGGATGAGACTATAATTCAGGCCTTTGATGACTTCCACATATTAATTGAGAACCTAACCAGCTGACAAGTTAAGCATTTGCATGCTGATAATGCTTTTGTGGGGTCAGAGTGGATTGACTACTATAGAGAGCATAGAATCATTCTAAAAACAATAGTATCATACTCATCATCATAGAATAGACTAACAGAGAGGGTGATATATATAACCATCTAAAATATTTGTGCATTTCTATAAAACTCAGGTCTTGCCCATAAATACTAGACAGAAGTGGCAGCAGTCTCAGTATATGCAAGGAATTTGATTCTATCACATCACTATCCTAACACTATATCTGCAGAGTTATGAATGGGTAAACACCAAGATATCTCTCATCTACATGCTTTTAGAAGTATTTTCTGAGTAAAAATACCAACAGTGAATGGGCAATAAGTCTCCAGTGGAAGCAAGTTGGATGACCAGTCAATCAGAGCAATATTACTAGGGTATGCATCTGAGGGTCACTACAAATTGCTTGATAATGATGGCAAGATCTTTATCTCTCATGATGTCATTTTTGAGGTTTATCTCATCACACAGTGTCAGTGGGAGGGGACTAAGCTGAATGGCAACATTTTTCCTCTGGATCATGTGCATCCAACACAAGGATGATAATATTGCTCTCATTGATGACTTTGTGCAATGTGTGCATGTAATGCTTGCACATCTGTTTCTTGGTCTTGCTACTGCTTGTGGATGATGACAGATCTTGAGTAACATCTGCAGTTTCACAAGCAAGGCACACTAGTGATGATAGCACTGGTTCCAATGCCATTACCAAGTCATCATCTGGTCATTGCAGCAGTGGCTTTAGCTTGAAAGATAATCCTTAGTACTGGCTTCTGCAAAAAAAAAATTCTGGTGACCATACACCATTGAGATACTGCTTGGCTGCATTTTTGGCTTTGAGGTCAGGTAGACAGGGAACTCCTGGGTCTTTCTTCAATTCTGAGGTATGTAAGGGGATGTCAAACTCTGGTAATTTGCTACTCACTCAATTTCCATGGCACAACAGGTCTCTTGGATCCTATACAATTTACATTGCAACTGTAATATTTAGAAATAGATACAATGTACTGGTTCACTCCATGGTGTTGGTCATGATACAGAATGAAGGTGAAAGGAAAAAAATGATGTCACATGTATGTGACACCACTGATGATTAAGTACACAATACTAATCGTGCTGATCTTCAATCTAAATCTTTTAATGGGCTCAGCGGCTTAGAAATACTATCATAGTAATAGAACATATTTTTGTGTCGTCGATGGTATCGCCTATAGTACTTACAGTCCCACTGATCATGTAGTACTCATTGTTGACTAACCTCCAGTCTTTACATGTATTGCTTTTTATTCACGAGTTGAAAGGGAAAATTGATGGTATGTAAAACTACATTAAAATTTGGCTGTCATTCTTGCATGACGGAGTTAGACATCCGTTGACCTGTAGGAGGCATTGAGAAAGACAAAAAACTGTATGAGAGATTAAGAAACTGAATCTCTCATGCTTGCCATTCTTACCATACTTGCTGGTGAAGGCAGACGGCGAATACGTAGTATTGCTATCGTGATCCGGCGACGAATCCTCCTCAGATGGTTACATGGAAAGAAGTACATTCACTTAAAGTCTTGACGGCTAGAGACATTCTGTAGCAAATTTCTCACGTACTACTAATGTTCTTGGAACCAAAGTGCCGTCGGGTCGAGTGAGATCATGTGTCGTCTCCGTTGAAGAAGCAGATGTCGATTGTTTACTTGTTTACAAAAGTACGCAGGGTGCGGGGCAAACCGAGATTGAAACGTCTCACCAGTTGACCACCGCGATCTCGTGAAATCAAGGACATCAACTTGCTTCCAGTCTGTTTCGACCATATGGATGTGTTCGAGATGGAGTGCAACACCCAGCAAGACGCTCATTTCACCTTCTGCGATCATAGATTCCAGTTAGATATATTGAGAATCTGCAGACGGGTCATTGTGACCGAGGAGCTCAATGATTTGCGCAGATCAGTTTGACTGGTGAAGCTCTGGGACCAATCCGGGTCTTGTCGATTCGGGACATACTCAGGTTGGATTGCCACGCCTATACATTGTGTTAACATTGAATCAAAGAGAAGTATTATAGCAATTACTGGGAGCAAAAAGAGTTCGAAGCTTCTAAGAGAGCCGTCGTGGTGGTGGTAACTTAAAGGCAATAGCAAGTATGCAAACACCACTGAAAATCTCGTTGAATCACGGTGTCTCATGTACAACCATATCTACGTCCTGACGATTCCTTCTGTTAATGTAACTAGTCCGCTGCTATCAGGGCACCTTTGCAACCACGCCGGAAAGAAACCTAATCACCGATGATTAAATAATTTGCTACGAATTTTGATTTAATAGACGATACCCCAGTCATCTTCTTCATCAGAGTCACTAGGAAGGTGATCAACAAAAGGTACAGCCACAGAATTCACGTTTACCCGTCTCCGAAATCTTTGGTGAAATACAGGGCCCCCTTCTGGACAAGGCGAGGCATGGACTCTCTGATGATATTCTCCGTCACGTCCAATGCGTTTGATATTTCTCCAAGAGGGGAATCTTTGCCGACCACTAAAAGAATAGTTAATCTCCGGAGTGGATAACTGTCATCCCCCAAAACTGAATCGAGATTTGCCCAAACCACTTTACCCGCGGAGGAACGACAGTGGGTGCCATGGTCATCGAGATAAAGTTGGATCGTTAGAGACTCCAGACGGGTCGGGACGTTATGCGATGGTCTGAGTGCGTTCGTCCACCAGCCTAGGATAGGAAGCGGATTGACTTCCAATATATCAGGGAAATGTCCTAGGTCCAAAGATAGGGCACGTAAGTGAGATAGGGGAAGATCAAAGGGGGGAGGGGTGCGGCCATCGCTGCATGTCTGTATGAACAAAGCTGAAACACGGACTAGCGTGTCGTTATCACGGTTGAGGTCTATAATTCTTTTCAGAAGCGAAAGGTTCTCTAGGCTTAGACGGTCATAAAGGTCGCCGTAGAATTGCATGTGTATGGTGAGATGCTCAAGCCTGTCGATACGCACGGGCGGAGTAGGGTAGGTAAGAATCGTGTCCAGTAGCCATCGGGAACCGGGCGTACATGTAATAAGTAGACATCGGAGGGAGGATACGGCGGAAGGGTCGTTGTCTTCACACATGGAGACGTCGGTTTGGCTATTTGTAAGGATGAGATCGCCAGATATCGAAAACGTATGGAGTTGATGACAATGCAGTTTCACGAGTTGAACCGCATCGCTTGAGACCGTGACCATTGCTCAAGGTGCCGAATGATGACGCGCTTTTCGGGTTAGTGGACGAGACGTGCAATGGAGATCATTCGCTCAAGCCACGACCTTCCCATGGTACGTTAATGTGACCATTTTTCAATCGCCTTTAATGACGCGTCTTCTAGCTGTCAAGAATACTGGTTTGTTGAGTAAACGCTTGTTCTCTATCGACGCTCATCCTTTTTGCAGAGCTTGAATCCACGGAGAACAAAATAGAATCGCCCGCGGAGCCGGCACTGATGAACGATGACGCACCCCCCGCAACCGAAGAATCCATCCTCGAAGGGGCTGTGAAGTCGCAGGACAGGCTAACGGGTAAAAGATCTGTTTTCACATGACAAAAATCTGACGGCGAAAACAGAAGATGATGCCAAGGACGATGAATCGGCCATCCCCAAAGGTGAATAGAGCTTGTTCCGTCATTTTCTACGTCTAATTTTGGTGGTAGTCTTCGTTCAGGCTGATGATAATATAACGGGTAGCGCAGTGGAAGAATCCAGCATAGAAGGAGAGGCAGGAGACAGACAAAATTGTACAGGTCTACTTCACAGCTTTCTGATCTGACCGAGATCTGACGATAAAAGCAGAGATCGACGTCCCCGAAAGTGAATGGATTGTTTTTGTCTTTCTCGTGTCTAACTTTGGTGATAGTTATCGTAGAAGACAGATCTGAAGACAGACACGATCTGGCAACAGGTAGTAAAGAAGTTCTCTACAACTATTGCTTCGGACCGCAATCTGATGACAAAAGCAGAAGGCGACACCAAGAACGATGAATCAGAAGCTTCCAAAGGTGACCAAAGTTTTTCCGACTTTGCTTGTGTCTAACTTAGATGATAGTTATTGTTGAAACTGACGATGACCTTACACCCGCCGAACGACAGGCAATGGAGGTCAGTAGCATGATATTTTTTTCCCCTTGGCGTCTAAGGATCGAAAATATAGTCCTTTATGACTACGAATTATGAGACGGTTCAAAAACTTGAGGAATGCATCCCCGAAGAATACTTTCCTGACATACTCCTCGTCAACGACCCTTCCGGCTTCACGATAAGTGACAATCCATTTCTTAGCCGTCTGTCGCGTACGCTGCCTGTACGCTATAAACGTGTTTGGCCGAAGTTGAAGCGCGATGGCGAGCTGGCCACGCTCTTTAACAATGACCTCCATTGCCCTTCGGCGTTCCACTGCACACCGACACAGACGGAGAGGTACGCTGCTAGTGAGTCTCGACGAGTCGCCACGCTCGACCTTTCGGGCCCACCACTTCTCGGCAAGAGCAGCCATTCTACCGTCCGACAGGCCGGAATATGACTTCCGGTACCTCTCACGACGCAGACAGGCGACCAATGCGTTTCCGTAGCTGTGAAACTGGCGTTTTCTCTTAGTGAAGATCGGGAGTTGCTTGAAAATGAGGGACGAATCTACGACGCGTTCCCGGATCATCTGCAGGAGAGCTACTGCGGCTATAACTTGGTAGCCCCAATGGACCACCCTGTCCCCGTAGGTGCGTGTGTGCCCAAGTTCTTTGGGTATTATGTACCCGTTCAGGAGGAGGAAGAAGCTAAGCATAGGCGAGAAACGCTGAACAGGATCAAGAAAGAGGTGGAAAGAAGACGGGAACGAGAGGTGAAGAGAGAAGCTAAGAAGATAGGCATAGACGAGGCGGTGGAATCTACCGATGCGTACGGAAAATCAGCGGAAGAAGAAGAGGACGACTATAGTGGCGAGGATAATGACGATAACTTCTCCGACTATCCACCTCTACGAGTCGAAGAAATTCGTTCCCCCATTCTCTTACTCGAAGAGTGCGGGACGCCTATCGAACCGGAAGAGTTCTCAGAAGATAAGAGGTATTCTAGCTTCATTTCTGCCGCTTCTACTCCATCACTGATGGTGCATCTCCAGATCTGAATGCTTCTCACTAGTGCTTCGCCTTCACCATGCAGACTTTGTGCACAACTCGCTGTATCCTCGCAACATTTTGCGACAGCCAGGTCCTCTTACCGTGCGACCGTCAGAGCGATCGTTGAAGACGCCGAGTTTCAGGATTATTGATTTTGGGAGAGGAAAGTTTGTGCCGTTGTTTGTGGAGAAGTTCCTTGAGATCCCGTGGAGTAGACTGGGACCACCGATGGTCTAGACGAGAGAAGAAATGGAGAGGGTCAAAGAAGTGTCGGAGATGGGGAAAGAAGAGGCTGTTCATTGGTATAATGACAGTACCGGATCCGAATCGCGGAAAGCCGCGAGAATCCTATATGTCAACGATTATCAGTTATAGTTTGTAAAGTGTTATTGAAATCATGGCTTTATGATGTGCATCCGACCATTACGTAGTACGGTATAAAGATGGATGCATGATGCACCTTTCGAAACCGAAAGGACAATGAAGGAAGTGCAAGTGAAACTCTGAAGGATCTTAACTCTACGTTTCCAAGTGTCGTCGCAGGGTGCCCATTCTTGGTTCAGACACTAGAAAGGCAACATTCGCATATGCTGCAAGGACTCCCAGGGGAATGGGATCACTGTAAATTGACCACGAGAGCAGAAAAAAAGTGGGAGGAGAGAAATAAATAAATAAAATCAGTGGAATCCAGTCAAAGCACATGTCCAAGCAGCGCCAGAAGACGACCGCGAAAGTCCCAAGAAAACCATAGTCCCAAAAAACCCGTAATCAAAAGAAAAATAATCCATGAAAGTGAAAGTACAAACACCAAGAGTCCCAAAGAAAAGGAACTGGAAAACGAAAGCCTAAGAAAAGTCTGATGTAAAGGAGAGTGAGATGATGATGAAACCAAGAAAGAAAGTGGTAGAGAGAGGAGTCCCTGCTTGCAAAGTCCCAAACCGTAAGGTAAAGCGGAGAAACAAAAAGAAAAGTCCAAATGCAAGAGTAGACGAAATGCAGGGAGAAAGAAATTAAAAATGTCTGTCCGAAACCTAGGCCAAGTCCAAGAGAGATGAAACAAAGCACAGAAGAGAAAGGTAAAGAATAAGAAGGGAATAGAGAATAATGCCAAAGCAGCACGAGCAAACAAATCATGAGGGTGTACGATCAGGAGGAGACATCACCGAGCGAAGCACTCCAACGGTCGTACGAGCCCGAGTCATCACAGGCGGGCGGCTGCACTGTTAATTCCTGACGCGGGACGGGAGGCAAGCTTTGAAGGATTTTCGGAGACGGTTGAACAAGGAAGCTGAGGTGACAGTGAGGTCAACACCCAAATCTAGACCAATCGGCGGGGCGCGAGGACGAGACATCATTGAAACACGGAATGGTTGATCGATTTCCTTGACTCTTGGAGGAGCATTGACAAATTCCGCGTCGGTGAGAAAGAACCTATCGATTTTGCTGATCTCGGTACAGAGTTCAGGAAGAGCGATGCCTTTCGAAGATGCGGAGCAGAACCTGGTTGACGGAGGGTGTGGTGTGATGGGAAATATCTTGAGGAAATAGTCGGGATCGCAGAGGAAACAGTTGAAGCATCGATCTGAAATCTTGGCGGCGACCCAAGGATCTCGCCCGACCATCATATTGAGGAGGAGAACACCTAGAGCCCAGACGTCGCTGGCCCTCGTCGAGTACGTGGGCGATCTAAAATCCTCGCCCAAGTATTCTAATGAACAAATGAGATTAGGCTGGAAAAAGAAGTCATTAGGAAGGAAGCTTACCAGGACTTTTGTACGGCAGGGTGCCTGCCCCGCGGAACTTGTAATCTTCGCATGTCGCGAGACCAAAGTCAGCACGGAATACCTGTGTCCTGTCTTTAGAACAGAGAATATTCTCAGACTTGATGTCCCGATGGAATACTTCATTGGCACGGCCATGCCGCAGGGCATCGATGACCTGAATGAAGACAGGCTTCACCAGTGAGTTGTTGCAATAAAATATCTTCTTTTCCTTGATGGCCTTGTGCAGCTTTCCACCGGGGCAGTAGTCCATGATCATGAAGACATAGTCCTCCTCAACCCACATATCACGGTATGTGACAACGTTGGGATGCCGAGAGACAAAGGCATGAAAGACGATTCCTTTTCTGACCGTTGTAGACCTTTTCGAACCATCTGATGAATCTTAATACACTTGACAGCGAAATAAACAAGATCATTGGTGGCCTCAAGGTCTAATGCCCTGTACACCTGTCCGTAGTTGCCAGAACCGAGATGGGCAACGAGGATGAGCCTCCCATTGGCGATGGACCGGCCGTCGGGGTGAGGAACAGTATTGAAAGGCATAGTATGTGCAGTAAAATAAATGTGCAAGAAGAAGGATGAAATGCGACTTTCAAAGCCGAAAAGGTGGTGGTAGGAAGGAAAGAGTGTTCTGGGGGGCCTCCTATTCGTGGGAATGTGATATCTGCTGCGCTCCACAATCCTCCAAAGTAGCCGGTAATATTGGACCGGGGTCAGACATGCCAAGATTTTTCTTCATTACAGTGAGTATGCATAATCTCATGTTTATTCCATTGTGAATCCAATCTTATCATTCAGAGACCCTCATTGCAAACTTTGAGCTAGTGCCACTTTGGATAGAGCTTCACACTGATACTGCATAGTACAGATGTACAAATACCATCATATGGCTGTCATATCCATGACATCAGACAAGTTTGAAGACTTAAGTACAGTATGCAGATAGACTATCACTGTCAGAAACCATCATGACATAGCAGTCCTGTTAATAACATGTTATTTAACATCAGATCATAAAAGGGTATTTATTCACCAGGTTATTAATGGTTAATAAACATGTGAATTAATGTGAATGTCATGTGAAAAATAGACTTTCCAACAAGTTAATAATAAAAGGCCAGTGAAAAAAAACAAGAACAGATTAAATATTGTCCTAATCAATCTCATCCATGTCTCTCTCAAGTCTCTCAATATTACTAGTAAGTCTTGATGCTGTTGGTGACTCAACCAATGCTGCAAAAATCACTGCAGCATTTGCTTCTGAGACTGATGTTGAGAGAGCATTCCTCAGATATAGAGCATCAAGATTGATGTCTGGATCAAGTTCAAGTGTATCTGGAGTTTCCTCAATATCAGTGTCAATTACCACACCCTCCTCTTCATTGTTAGAGTCAATCATATCCACAAAATACACAGTTTCTGATCTCTGTTTTGATGAAATTGTGCTTAGTCTTGCCAGAGTTGATCTCTTCTTATTCACATCATCTTGTATGTCATGGAACTTGACACTCAGCTGCACCTTTGATTTTCTGCCTTTCTTCTATCAAGTGACAATTAAACAATCACAAATGCTTGGCACTGCAACTGCCAGGGTCTGACACTAACTGATGATAAAGCAAGATAATAAGAATGATAAGATAGATGATGATGATAATGATGAGCAGGATAAGGTAGAGAGGTCAATAGACTACAGCTGCCAGCATAAGAACTGAGATGGTAGCCACACTAAGAGTCTAAGAGTTTGATCAGTATGAATTAACCTTAGCTTGAGACTAGAGTACATTATTGTAAACTACTGTCTTAAATACTGTTGAGAAATGTCTTGGCCCTACAGGCAACTATTATTCTGTTGTCATGCTTATTACTTATTGTCCAATGACAATACTTTCTATGCCTTGCAGATGCACTATTGTCTGCCTACAACACTATTGCTATGGTGAGTGTTGTGTGAGCCACAGTTGTCTCAGCTAAGACTGCACTGTTGCACAGTCATTCTATGTGGTCAGCATGCTGATGCCAGCTGTGTATTATATGGTGATGAGTAAGGTATAGTATAGTGTTGTTGTTAGACCCAAGCGTCACGTGGACTGATACACGTGATAAACAGGTGTTCCTTCGCACTTCGAGGAATCACCTGAGTTCACTTATATGTATATCCGAGCGGTGTGACTCAAGGTCGATAATAGACTCGAGGTAGAATGGTGTGAATAAACTTTAGCTCGAAGCTGGGATATACCAGCGAGAGCGGTCGTCCTTAAATACTGTACAGATAGTGCTAATATTACGACTACTTATTGTGTCGTCCTGTGTCCATGGTGCCCATTGTCCTTGAGCACCGTTGTCGTACATAAAAGGGTAATTGTGCGTCGTCGAGCGTCGTTGTATCTAGGCGGCGTAGTTGTGCTTACTAAGCCCCTTCCCATGGTCTCGTGCTATGACTAAGCATAAATAGGGGTAAAAAAGGAAAATAAATGGAAAAATCGTAACATTACCCCCTCGTTAAGACCATCATCCTGATGGTTTAATTAAGGGAGAGTTCATAGTCGTGTATGGCTGTGTCGGCGTTCATGTATTTTTCGTTGATCCATTGGTTGGATTCCGGCCCGTAACCTTTCCAGCTTACCAGGTAGTCGACCATCGTTGTCATGCCTCCCCCACGGGCTTTTACTTTTCGGAGTTTGTGGTTTAATACTTGATCAATTTCGTAGTGTTCCTCATCATCGATCAAGTCGGGGGGCGGCGGTGGCGGTCGTTTCTGGTTCGGAAAGGCTGGCGCAACGTATGGTGTCAATAGGGATTCATTGAATACGTTGTGAATTTTCCATGTCGTCGGTAAGCGTAGTTTATAGGACGCTTCTCCGACCTTTTTAATGATCGGGAAGGGTCCTGTACGCTTGTCGGAGAGTTTGCGTTTTGGCCATGGCAGGTGGAGGTTCGTCGTGTCAAGCCAGACTTTGTCGTGGACGTGATATTTGTGTGCGGGGCATCGATGCTTGTCGTAGTGTAGTTTCATGGCTGAAGCGGCTTTCTCCAGTGCCTTCTTTGTTTCCGTATGTATTTTCCCCATCGTCGTGGCAAAGTCGGTGGAAGCTGGAGTCGTAGTTTTATGGAGGCTCGTTTGTGTCAGATGTGGATGTCTGCCATGGTTCACAAAGAAGGGGGTCTGGCCTGTGGCAGAGTGTACTCTGTTATTGTGCTGGAAAGCAGCGAGTGCTAGCCATTCGACCCAATCGTCTTGTCTGTAGTTGATAAATAGTCAGAGGTATTTTTCGACCTCCTGGTTTGCACGTTCGGTCTGTCCATCTGTTTGTGGATGGTATGCCGTTAATGCATTGGGTGTTATGTTTAACAGTTTGTATAGGTCAGTGAGAAATTTGGAGACAAATTGTGGTCCACGGTCTGAGATGACCACTTGTGGCATCCCGTGTTTTGCATATACTTCGTCCCGTAGAATTTTCGCCCAACCTTCTGAACTCAGTTCTGTCGAACACACGATCGGAATGATCGCTTTGGAGAATCGGTCGACTATGACGATGATCGCGTCATAGCCGTTGCAGTCCGGCAAGCCGGTAATCATGTTCACTGATATATGAGTCCATGGCTGTGCCGGTATCTCATTAGGGTGTAGTGGTGCCGCTCATGGTTGTGTGGAGGCCTTCCCCCTTTGGCAGGTTTCGCAGCCTTTGACATAGGCCGTGATGTCGTTGATGAGTTTAGGCCACCAATAATCTCGCAGAACGAGTTCCTTTGTTTTGGCAATGCCTGGGTGTCCTGCCGTAGCATGGTCATGATATATGGCGATGATGTCGCCACGGAGGCTTTGGACACATGGAATGTAGATCCTTCTGTCATAGTGGATCATTCCCTCCGTCTTTGTTAGTCCTCATTCATGGTTCAGTGAGGCGGCGATTCTTTGATCCCACTGATGCGGATCTCGAGTCGCGCTTTTGATCCGTTCGTGTATTTCCTCCTCTGTGGGCATTATCATTGCTCGAAAGTGCTCGGGACGGAGGATGACAACTCCCTCATTGTCCTTTCCCCCCTGATCGTGGTCTGCACGGCGAGAGAGGAGGTCGGCCTTTTTGTTGGCGACTCCGGCTTTATGATGGAGTGTATACTCATATTGGGCGAGTTCGGTGACCCACCGGGCCTGTCGTCGGTTCAATTTTTGAGGTTGTCGGAAGTACCTGAGATTCTGGTGATCGGTCCAGATCTCAAAGGTTTCAGCTGCTCCAATCAGGTAATGTCGCCACTCTTCGAGGGCGAGCATTATTGCGAGCAACTCTTTGTCATAGATTTCGTAGTTTCTTTCCGTCACTGTCAATGCCTTTGAGAGGAAAGCGACAGGCCGCCATTTCTTTTCCTGTTCTTGGGACAAGACGGTGCCTATGGCCCCCTCGCTCGAGTCGGCTTCAACGCGAAATCTGCCCTCTTGGGATGGTATGGCAAGGATTACATCCTCCGCCAATCGTCGTTTTAGGTCTTCGAAAGCATGTTGCTGGGATATCCCCCATCCCCAGGGGGCATTGCCGGTTAGCTGGGTCATGGGTCGTACGATCCTGCTGTAGTCTCATATGAACCTTCGGTAGAAGTTGGTGAAGCCCAAGAAGGATTGTAGTTTCTTCTTCTTGGTCGGTGTTGGCCATTCGACTACTCCCGCGACCTTTATTGGGTCCATGCGAATGCTCCCCTCACTGATGATTACTCCGAGGTACTCGGTTTCCAGTACCTCGAATTCACATTTTTCCGCCTTGAGGAATAGTTTGTGTTTCCTCATGAGAGCGAGTACCCGTCGGACCAGACTTCGGTGTTCCTCCCTAGTTTTGGACATGATGAGGATGTCATCCAGGTAAATGGTAACCTTTCTGGTGGCAATGAGATCCTTGAAGATATCATTCATCATCCACTGAAAGGTGGCTGGGGAGTTGGTCAGGCCAAAGAACATTACCGTCGGCTCGAAGAGTCCCCGGTTAGTTCTGAACGCCGCCTTCCATTCGTCCCCTTCCTTGATCCGGACATTGTTGTATCCCCAACGGACATCGAGCTTGGTGTAATATTTGGCTCCTCGAAGTTTATCCATCAGCTCGGAGATTAAGGGTAGGGGATACCGATTTTTGATTGTCATCTCGTTGAGCTTTCGGTAGTCCTGGATGGGTCGAAGCTTGCCGTCCTTCTTTTTTACAAAGAAGAATGGCGATGCCATAGGGGATTTCGATGGTCAAATTCGCCTGGAGGATAGGTTTTCATCGAGAAACTTGTCAAGTTCCTGTTGTTCCTGATTACCGAGGGGATAAGTCTTGCAGTCCAGGTTTGCATTGGCATTGGGGACTAGCTCAATGGCATGATCCCAGGGTTTTGGGCTTGGGAGTTCATCGAAACTCTCTTTCTCGAAGAGGTCTCGGAAATCCCGTGCCCACTCCGGCACCATCTCTTCGAACGTCTTTTCCTCCCTTCCCTCGTTTGCCTTGGCTGCTAGGTTATTAGCGTGATGTACCGCTCGGATATGAATTTCCTTCTGCAAGTCTACCGCCAGGATGGTTTCA